TTCTAAATACTGAAAGCTTTTAATTGGACTAATCACAAATCTTTAGAAGTTCAGATAGAAAAATCGCTGCTCGTATAGGAGAGAATTCCGGATAAGCTAATAAAAACAAAGGAAGAAGTTACAGTGTAGTATAATTTTTATAGAAGAATCAACATGCAGAGAACTGTAGAAGACATTCTCTTATCTATTCCAAACAACGGATAATCACATATTTTTCACCATCAAACTAAAAAGTCTACACAATCGTCAAACATAGAATCAATCATCAAAATTGCTCACATGAGCCTATGCATCATAAAATTGGATCTGAAGGTTTGATGTCAGTGAAAGTGAGATATAGCAGAGGCTGCGGTGAACTTTGCTGTAGAAACCGTGGGTTCCTGACTTCCTTCTTATCCAAGAATAAGTTATTTAGAAGCGCAAAACAGGATTTAAAAGCATGCAAAAGGAATTGGAGACAATCAGACCTTTCCTCAAAGATGCGAACGCAAGAGCAGCAGCTGAAGAAGAAAAAGAAAGCAATGAAGGTGTCTTAACTTGGTAAAACCAGTGAGGGAAGAGCTTATCGGATTGAAGATGTCATTGGTGAGTTCTCTTCACCGTGGCATAACTTCCCCACAGCAATGCCTTTGTGTGTCCTTTACAAAATCACTCTTTTAATAAATTAATACTGAAAAACTCTTTTACATTTTATTAACCCAAAAACTAACAAATTTACACAAAACTATCGTTCTATTATCATAAACTTGTTATTATAATAAACAATTTGAAGAAGCCACATCAAATATGATGCTGGTGTCATAAAAATGAACACTTATCCAGTGAAGTGAAAAACCCTGAATCTTAAACGACTTGTCTAGAAACCAGAATGGGTAATCCGTTGACAGAGACATAATGCTTGCAGCACATAATCTCTATGGACCTAATGACAGGATCAAATTGGATTTAAATGACTACTATTGGAATCGCAGAACAGGTTGAAGAGTGATTGTATTCGACATACTAAAACTGCTATACCAACATGTTTTTTCTATTACATGTATCAAGCTTTTGAGATTAGGAAGACCAGTTATGGATAGATCATAGAGTAGTTCAAAATAATAAAAATTAGGAAGCAGCATTCAGCAGATAACTTTCTAGGCATTGATTAAAACCTAATGCAGAAGCAGTTGTCTTTGATGGCTTGCTACTCTCTTCAACTTCCGACTCATATGCCACAATGACAACGATCGAAGTCTCATGTTCTCCTATTGCAGTCAATTGGAAAGTTGTTTATATACGAGAAACCAAGATTCAGGTGGCCCCTTCAACCACTGCAGTGAGATTATATGCAGACACTCATCAAGCTCAACAATTCTCCTTCTGGTAACTCATATTTGACACACTAGCGTTTGTACCATAGAGAATGGCAGAAAATTTCACCACAATTGATCAATTAGGATTAACAGAGAATTAAACATAAAACCCACTACCATATTAACTATTCTATGTAACTGAAAATAAATAACTAAGAATGAAGGGACAAGACTCACCAGAGCCAAACTTGAAGAGCAGGACTGAACGAGGCCACCATCTCTTCAACAAGTTCCACTTCCTCACTAAATTTGGGACAATCTTTGGAATGATAAATCTCATATCTTTGTCAGAGCTTTCCAGAATGTTCCCATCTCAACACCAGCCTTTACTTGGGATTTAACTTCCTCTCATGCCGCTGCGTGCGAGTTGTGAGAAGTGGTTTTACAGAAATCAACATAGTTTACAGGGTCGACTGATAGAATCATATATAGGAAGTTGCGCATAATTAGAATGAGGAATTAAGGGCACCAGGGTAATCTTTCTTTATGTAGGACAAAGGCATTAAAGTGACATTAATAGATTCCAATTTCGTCATTTGCTCTAAACCTTATTTAATAATACGTATTTTATTTTAAACAATTATTCTAGGGAGACTTTTTCCTACCCAACGTTTGCTTAATTTCAAAATATCATTTCCCACCTAAAGGTTTCAAAATACCATTTTCCAGCCAAGTGTTATATTCCGTTAATACCCAAAATATACTTCACTTTCTCAACCGGCATTCAGCAAGTTATCAAGAGCCAGAGTAAGAGGGTTTTGTAATAGAGGCTAGAGGATTGAATGATGGTGATCGATTGATATATTTACCGTTGGAATCAGTCGAAAATTAACTAAGAACTAGAAACTTTAGCTTTGCGACGATTGACAATCAGCGAGAAATTAGGTATCAAACTAAGAGGAGTTTTATAGAGAAGAGATCAAAAGTTCAAATGATGAACGGAGAGAATTTTTGCCATCAGAATTGGCCGAAATCGGCTTTGGGTATTAACGGAATATAAACTTCGGGTAGGAAAGTGGTATTTTGAAACTTTTTGGGTGGGAAAGGGTTTGAAAGGGAAACCTTGGGTGGGAAAATGTCATTATCAAAATTGTCCAACTATGTCCTTTTAAACAACATCCTTATATTTACACTCATGTAATCTGTGCCAACTATCACCCTTTATATTTTCAAAATTCATCTAATTTGTGATAATCAATGCCTTTTTAATCCATCACCAATAGTCAACCTGCAGGGAGACTAATTTGCTCCATTATTCCATGGTTGACCATACCCTTTAGAAGGAGTTGTCTTTGATGTTGGCACCTCTTGTTCTTCAGACACATGCACAATCAAATTCTCTGTTCTATCTCCAATTGCTGTCAGCTGGAAAGTTGTTTATATGCGGAAATCCCAAGGTTGGTAACTCATATTTGACAGACACATCTACCATTGTACCATATAAGATGTTAAACTACAAAATCCAATAATTAACTAATTAGAATTAGTATATAAGGCTTTTTCTGTTCTATTAATCAAGCTTGCTTACAAGATGCAACACGAGGCAGTGGCCAACTGGGGAGCGTTAGCCCTAGTCAACCAAAAATTGCTTATGTGATCATCACTCTGCTACTGATCAAAAGACGAAAGCTTATTTAATTGATATCAGCAGTTATTCATTCATACTAGCGCTGTAACTTATTGTATATCTTTAAAAAAAATCACATTCTGCTGGTTTGATATCGTTAAAGTGAGTAAAGTGAGTAAGAAAAAGTGAGGTATGGCAGAGGCTGTGGTTAACTTCGCTATAGAAACTGGGGTTCCTTCTTAACCACGAAATCAAGTTGCTTGGTAGTGCAAAACAAGAAGTAAAATCATGCAAGGGGAATTAGAGAGCATCAGAGCTCCTCAAAGATGCCGACGCAAGAGCAGCAGTGAAGAAGAAGGAGAAAACAATGACGATGCTTAACTTGGGTGACGCAAGTGAGGGAGAAGCGTATCGTATTGAAGATGTCATTCACGGGTTCTCTTTCACCGTGGCACGACTTCCCAATGCGGCCGGCCTTATGGGTGTTCTCCATAAAATCACTCGTTCGTAAAGAAAATGAACGTGGTTGTGAAATTGGTAATGAAATCCAAGATATCAGATTATAACTTGATTACATGATAGGAAGAGCTGACAAATATAAATTCAGCTCCACAGATCATAGATCAAGCAGTGGAAACAGAAATATTGTAGTTGTTCAAAGGGGTGATATTGTGCTTGAAACAAACCGTTTTGGTTGTTAGCTGAAGCTGGAAAATTGGCGGCAAATGCAGAATTTGAAGTGATGAAGAATGGCCTCGTAGCAGTTCACCAAAGCTGATTTTTGGACATGAAGAAGTGGTTGTTTTTGGTGGATTCAGCACACATTAAGCTGTCAACTTTATTTTATGTTAATGTGATGTAAATTTAGTTGTTAAAGTTGTATGGTTAAAATGTATTTGATATTAAAATATGTCTGCACACTAGGTACAACAGTGATGTAAAAGATTGTATAAACTCTGTTTTTTATCTTAATGAAAAGGTAGAGCACATTTTACATAACAACTCTTCTCTGCTCTTTCAACTTTGCCTTCAGCTCTCTTGTTTCGTCTTTCTTCTCATCTTCTCCGTAGCTCCTGGTGCATTCTCCAGCTCCAAAAACCAACAATAGCACACAACTTTCAGGGACTCGAATTTGGGATACCATGTTGGATCCTTCTCTTAGGAGACCATATTAGATCATTTTTTTACTCTTTTACCATCAAGGTTTGATGAGTGTTGTAACTAATGAATTAACACAAACAATTGAACACACAAACCACAAGAAAATCAAGAACAACAATAACACGGATTTTACCGTGGTTCACTTATCCAAATTGGATAAGTTACGTCCACGTTGAGTTTCGGAAATGAAAGAGCTCGCTGCACTACTTATTAATTAAGATCCAAACAAGAACAACTACAAACTAGTTCTAACTCTCACTAATTACAGGAAAATCTCATCGTAACTAACCTTAGAGAAACTCCCTAGGAATCCCTAAGAACAAGAGCAAAAAACCCTCTTGATTGACTAACCAATTACCCAATCAACCCAAGTTACAAAGATTTTCCCAAATCGACTGAAACCCTAACCGAAAGAGTAAGAGAGCAGGGTTCTTTCAACAGAGACAAAGTCGCGTGTCAGAAAAATAACTGTACATCCTCTTTTATATCGTTGAATCAATGAAGCTTCTCAGCCATCCGATCAGAGTTGGATCAACGACCAGGATCCAATACAGACTAATTTAAAAAACAGAGTGTTTCATTAATCCCCAAAATGACCTCATTTCAGTCTTCACTTCAACAATGAGATATATATACCGATGAAAATCACACAAAAGTTTGATTTTCCAACACCAGGAGACATAGACAAAATGAACGAAATGAACTGGTCACTACGCTGAGAGAATACTTGCAGAAAGAAGAGTTATATATGATTGTGTTGGACCAGGGGGTAGCTTTTGAAGATTTCTTATATAAGTGCTACGAATTTGATTATTAAGCAAAAGTAGGGATGGTTTTAAAATTCTCCCATTTTAAAATAAAAAAGAATATAACATTAAATAGAAGTTTTAATGAGTTTTACCCCGTGTTATCTCTAAGTGGCTCGTTGTATTCCAACTTTTCTCAAAAAGTCTAAGAAGATAAGGAAAAGGTGCAGTATTGTAGTGGTTGACTGGTTGGATCTCCGATAAGAGGCCGGTAAGTAAACGAAGGAGAATTACATATGTCAAAAACTTAAAATCTACACATAGTGATCAGTGATCATATACATCTATCTGGTTTTGATGTCATTGAAGTAAGTAAGAAAAAGTGAGATATGGCAGAGGCTGCAGTGAGCTTCGCTCTAGACACCTTGGGTTCCTTGCTTAAACAAGAGATCAAGTTGCTCGGAAGTGCAAAACAAGAAGTTAAAGACATGGAAGGGGAATTGGAGAGCATTAGAGCTTTCCTCAAAGACGTAGACGCAAGAGCAGCAGCTGAAGAAGAAGAAGGAGAAAGCAACGAAGGTGACTTAATTTGGGTAAAACAAGTGAGAGAAGAAGCTTTTCGCATTGAAGATGCCATTGATGAGTTCTCTTTAGCTGTGGCAAAATTTCAGCATGGCAGTGGCCTTCTTGCTGTCATTGGTAAAATCAATCGTTTCCTCAAGAAACTGAAGCTGCGGCGTGAAATCATCAAGGAGATCCAGAATATCAAATCATCACTTGCTCAAATAAAACGAAGAGCAGAAAGCTATCAGCAGTTGAGGTTCATAGGTCAAGGATCAAACAGTGGAACCACTTATGGTCAACATGACTCCCGAGTTGGTTCCCGATTCATCAAAGACCATCATGTTGTGGGCTTTGTTTCTACAAGAAAAAAACTGACTGATCTCTTGGTGAAAGGAACACCGAAACGCTCGGTGATTGCGGTGGTGGGCGAAGGAGGACTTGGCAAGACCACTCTAGCTGGAAGAATTTATGACGACCCCACCGTGGAAAAGTACTTCGAATATTACCAGATCTGGATCACCGTTGGGAAAGAATCCAGCAAGATAAATCTGCTGAGGTCAATTGTACAGAAATTTCGTTGTCCAACAGAAAGAGAGATAAAAGAAATGCAAGAAGATGAGCTGATCAGCACGTTGGAAAAACACTTGGAGGACAAGCGTTACATGGTTGTGTTTGATGACGTGTGGCCAATTCCATTTTGGCAGAATGTAGAGCAAGCTCTACCTGATCACAATACAGGGAGCCGGATAATGATCACGACGCGGAAGATGATGATTGCTAAGGTAATACCATTCTCAATAATCCACGAGCTTGAAGCTCTATCTTTGCAAGAGGCAATGGAACTTTTCTGTAAAAAGACATTTGGCGTTGATGCGTGTTGTCCTCCAAGGTTGGAGAAACTTTCTATAAGCATAGTTGAAAAATGTGGAAGACTACCACTAGCAATTGTTGCTGTAGGTGGTCTTCTGTCAACCAAAGACAAGTCTGAGTATGAATGGAGAAAGTTTTTAGATAGCCTGAGCTCAAAATTAGGAAACGATCCCTATCTAAAAATCAGTTGTACTAAAATTTTATCCAGTAGTTATTATGATCTTCCTCTCCACATCAAATTATGTCTTTTGTACTTCGGCTTGTTTCCATATAACTACTCAATTTCATGTGGAAGACTAATGCGCCTGTGGATAGCCGAGGGTTTTGTCGAATACGACGAAAACCAAACACTTGAGGAAGTTGCAGAAAATTATTTGATTGAGCTCATTGACAGAAGCTTGGTTCAGGTTGTGAAAAGAGATATTTCTGGAAGAATCAGAAGCTGCAAAGTCCATGGTCTAATGTATGAGATCATACTCCAAAAGACGAAAGGATTGGATTTTTGTCGAGTCCTGAAAGAAGAGCATTCAAGTCTCCACAGTAGTACAACGCGGCGCATTTCAATACACAAAAGAACTGATCATGTTACAGAGAGTATAAAGGGCTCAAAGATCCGTGCTGTTTTATTCTGCCTGATAGTTTCATGACTACATTTGTTGGGGATTTCAAGCTTTTAAAGGTGCTCGATTTTCAAAATTCTTCTCTAAGTTATCTTCCTGAAGCAGTGGGAAAAGTACTGTTCCATTTATATTATTTAAATCTGAGAAATACAGGAGTAAAAAAACTTCCCAAGTCCATAGGTAAGCTTGTCAACTTAGAGACTTTGGATTTGACGCTGTCTCGCGTGAAAAAACTTCCAGCTGAGATAAAAAACCTGAAAAAATTGCGGTATCTAAGGGTATACAACTTGCACATTATCGGTGATGTTATCGGAACTGGAAGAGGAATTACAATACAGAAGGGTTTTGGGACTTTAACGGATCTGCAGAAGCTATATTCTGTGCGAGCAGACACTGAAGTACTAAAAGAGCTAATGATGCTAAGGAAATTGGGAAAATTGGGCATTACTTTAACAAATGGAAGTGGGAAGTATCTATGTGATTTCATCGCAAAAATGGAACATCTTGAATCTCTGATTGTAGATTCAACAAGTAGAAAAGAGATTATTGACATAGAATGCGTGTCTTCTCCTCCTCGATATCTTAAACGCCTCTGCTTAACGGGGACTATGAAGAAAATGCCAATCTGGATTCGTGAGCTTGAAGATCTAAACAGAATAGATTTAGATTTATCGGTCGTGAGCTTGAAGATCTAAACAGAATAGATTTAGATTTATCGGGATTACGTGAAGATCCCATCAGCATCCTTCACTCCCTGCCTAATTTATTTGAGCTTAGGCTCAAAGATACATACCATGATAAGCACCTGCATTTCAAAGATGGTTGGTTCCCGAAACTCCAACAGTTGAGTCTCCTCATCTTTAGCGGACTGGAAATGGTGACAATAGACAAAGGTGCAATACCTGATCTCAGACATTTGGAGATTGGCCCATCCCCATTGTTGAAGGATAATATAACCGGAATTGAGCATCTGGGAAAACTGGAGGGTTTTAAATCTATCTACAAGTTGAGCTCAACTGTGATGGGAAAGTATTTAACGAAGATAGTCCTCAAGGTGGCGCTTGGTTGTAACAAATACAGATCCAAAGCCCTGAAGATTGCCGCAGCAGTTAATGGTAAATAGTAATATTTATCTATAACTTTGTTCTGCATACGAGGTACAGGGTACTAAAGGGAACAATATTTTCACTTTCCTAAATTAATATCGAGTTTCTTACGTTTGTTAAATAGGTGTAACATTGGTGGCACTTGAAGGGGAAGAAAAAGACAGATTGGTGGCAATTGGAGATCAATTCGATCCTATTGACCTCATCTTTGCCATACGTAAGAAGATTGGCTATGCCGAATTAATAACTGTGGAAAAGGATCACACAATCAGGAACGGGTAAATGAGGTAGTATGGGTAATTAACTGTTTGATATTTTTTTAGGAAGTAAAATTCATCCTTTATTGCTTTCTGTTTAATTAGGTTCGTCATTGGACAGATCACTATATAATTAAAAATGTTAAGATATAATACAACTTGCAAGATCGTTAGTTTCGCTCCGTTGAAAAAAAAAAAAAAAAAAAACTAGTATGGATGTCGCAGAACAGGTTAAAGAAATATTATATTCTTCAGTACAGTAATATGCATCTATACATGTAATGTGGCGTTTTGCAAAGCACAACGCCACATTACATGTATAGATTCACGGTACTTTTTATTCATTTTGGTTTGAATATGTTATTTAATGAGATGATTGTGTTTTGTAGGTCTAAATGTCAGTTTTGAGCGTAAGTAACATAACTTGAGCTCTACAACTCAGAATGATCTAAATTTGGAAACTACGGAAAGCTAAGAAGATTTGAGGGTTCGGAAATTCACTCTTGGAAGCGGCTACTTGGGAAAGCAAGTCAAGCAACGTAGAGAGATAAGAATTTCATTTCTTCTTTGTTTTTCAGAATGTTTTCAGATTTTATTATGTTTGTCAACTTTTATAGCATGAACTAAATTATTTTGCTAGGACTAAGATGTAGCCTATGTTATGAAGATACGATTTATGTTGTTTGAATAATTTCATGTACTATTTTCATGATTGAGTGTTTACTACTATGTTTAATGTCTTTGAATGATTGATCCCCATTCAATTAAAGTGTTGTTGATGATGAGACTGAAAAGTGATTTGTGATGTTAGCCTCGTGTAATAAACATTTTAGATTGAGCGAAAACTAGAGATAAATAAATGCGATATGTGTGACCTTAGATAAAATTCCATAGAGTTTAGTTAATCTAGAACTATTAAACTTCCATTTTGATTCGGAAGGGTAATACGAAAGGGTGCGGTGGGAGCATCAAACAAGTTAGGGAATTCGGTTATCAGTCAGAAAGAGATGATTGGATTAATAGAATTCATAAGTTGTATCGAAATAATTAGGTGAAATCGGATGCTCTAGTGTTTTTCTCTTATAGAATTAATCATATTTTTAGATTTGGGTTGTTATTAATTTTTTGTTTTATTGTTCATTAGTTTTTTAATTTTAGTTTCAGTATTCAATCACTCAACTTTCGATTCTACAATAAGTGTTTAAACTAGATAACTCGGTATTTAATAGGTTACTTTCCTCGTGGAAATGATTCTTTACTCTTCATTAAATACTTCCTTCATCATGCCCCGCTCCTGTGCAAGTCTGTGAGAAGTGATTTTACAGAAATTACATAAGTTTACAAGCTCAAGTGATAGAATCATGTATAGAAAGTTGTACGTATTTAGAATGAATAATAACAATAGGGCACCACGGCATCTTTCTTTATGGAGGACAAAGGCATTAAACTCCCTTCCCCTTTTTTTTTTTTTTTTTTTTTTTTTTTTTTTTTTTTTTTTTTTTTTTTTTTTTTTTGTTAATTAGAAGTCTTAGAGTCAATTTATGTATATTTTATATTTTAACTAATCTTTCAAGTTTTAAAGTTGGTAATTGAATAAATTCCTTCAAACACCACCTCTATTGAAACTCATGAAAACTCAAACTCAATAACCTTTTACTCTTTTACCATTCCCACCCTCCACCCCATATGTAATAGATTCCACTTTCGCCTTTGTCTAAATCCTGACATTAAATAAAAATATAATTCTTACTCTATTTTTTCCTTTAAATATAATTATATATTTATTATTTTCTTTAAAACCATACATACCCTTTTTTAATATAATTCGTACTCTACTTTTCTTTAAATATAATTATATATTTTCTTTAAAATCATATATAACCTTTTCAATCCTACTATATAATTAACACTTTCATGTTTAAACAGATAAACTAAAGGTAAATGATTTTTTTTTGTTCAGCTTGAGTAACGTTTAGTAATTTGCTTTATTGTATGTATTGTATATAAAAATATTAACTATAGGGATAAAGTGATAATGTCACTTCTTAAACATAAAATATGACATAAGTTTTTTTTTTTAATAACCACGGTATTTGTGTCAGCTTATATGCACCTCAACTAATCTTTCAAGACCTTGAAACTATCGATTATATAAGAGTTTCAGTGACTATTCCTATTAACAACCAAAGAACAATGTAAATATTTAGACGTAGTTTCAATAAACCTATGCATTTCCCTAGAACGCATCTTGCAATTCTCTTATGATATTTCACTTATTCAATCAACCTTCACTACTTTTGTCTCAAATCTTTCTCAATTAGTTTCTTCCATTTCTCCATTATCTTTTTTCTTCAACTCTCATACTTATGGGGCCGCTTCATCTTCAAGAGTACATATGTGATTATTTGACAACCCAATAATGAAATAACATCCTAAGGTTCATGATTGATCGTCTTAATACACTAAACAATAAGATTTAATTCAAACTGGGTTCAACCTTGCAAATAAGTACTGACAAAAATTTATATAAACAATGTCTTTATCTCAATATATATTGTATGAAGATCCTGTTTTCACAGCTTCGATTTAAAATATTTGTTGTAAAATATGAGATTTGTTAGAGTGGAGTAATGAACAATGTCTTATATTCATATATGCAGATGAATAATTGTATCACCATTATTTCTCTAATGAGTAAACCATGTTGCAGAAACTTACAATCTTTATAATCAAAATGCTGAGACAGAACAGCAATTTAGAAAATGGCTGGTTGTTTCTTTGCAAATAATAATGAACGGATATTGAAACTGCAGAACAAGTTGAAGAATGATTATATTCACAACAAAGAACCGTGATATTAGGGTGCAACAGGAAACAACACAATATGTGCATAAGTTTTGCAGAGCTGGAAACCGTGTTTTTATCACATGGACTAAGCATTTTTTGTGGCACTGAATATTATGCCCCTACATGTGCTTGTAGATGGCTTATTGCCTTCACTTTCTCAATAAAAGAAACCAGTCTCGCATATTGTAGCCCCAGAAAACGTTGAACGTTGTAAAGTCTTGTTATACGCGTTGAATCTAAGTAGCTATAAGCAAGACTCTTCGCGGAGATAAACAATCTGCCTTCTTATGGGCCTAAAGGCAACATGTCAACTTGCCAATTTCGAATCAGAACTACAAGCTCCAAAGCATTGACCAAGATTAACTATCTGGCAAAAGAATTTAAGTAACCAACAAATTTCCAGATTCTTTAAGAATAAATAATCCCACTTGTTGACTTTTATAAAATGAGCAATTAAGAAAGTTAGTACTTGTGCAGTTGAGTTTTAACATCTAATTGGTTGGTCTTTGATATCTTCAAGCATGAAGGTCTCAAGCAGCAATAGTTTCTTGATCATTCTTTTAATTGCAGTTTCCGTTGCGGTAGGAATCAATGCAGCACCACAGAGTTTGACCTGTAGCACGAGAAAAAGCCCGTGCTTTCTTAAGAAGATTACTTGCCCATACGAATGCCCAACGACAACACCAAGTGATCCTAAGGCGAAAGTTTGCTATATCAATTGTAATTCTCCCATATGCAAGGCTGAGTGCAGAAGTAAGATCATTAGTATTCCAACTATTATGTTCTTCGCAAATAATTATTGATGTAATGAGCTTTAAAACTAACCACTTAATGCTTTGGTAATTGCAGATCGTAAACCAAACTGCAATAGCCCTGGAGCAGCCTGCTTGGACCCCCGCTTCATTGGTGGAGACGGAATTGTGTTCTATTTCCATGGAAAGAGAGATGAGCATTTCAGCTTAGTATCCGATTTTAACCTTCAAATCAATGCTCGTTTCACTGGCCTCAGGCCAGCAGGCAGAAGTAGGGACTATACTTGGATTCAAGCCCTTGGTTTCCTCTTTGATTCCCACACCTTCTCTCTCGAGGCTACTCAAGCAGCCACATGGAATGATGACGTTGACCATCTGATATTCACTTACAATGGAAAAGAATTTGTCATACTTGAAGGCCATCTCTCTTCTTGGGAATCTCAAGAAGGCAACCTGAGAGTTGAGAGAACTTCAAACAAGAACAGCGTCTTGATCACTCTCCCGGAAGTTGCTGAAATTTCAGTTAATGTGGTACCTGTGACAAAGGAAGATGATAGAATTCATAACTACCAGATACCTTCTGATAATTGTTTTGCTCACTTGGAGATACAATTCAGATTCAGTGGCCTATCCTCAAAAGTTGAAGGAGTACTTGGCAGGACTTACCGGCCAGATTTCCAGAATCCTGCAAAGCCAGGAGTGGCAATGCCGGTTGCGGGAGGTGAAGACAAGTACAGAACTTCATCACTTCTCTCTTCAAATTGTAATTCTTGCCTCTTCAACCCAGCTGGAGCTTTTGACCAAAAGAATGCATTGCTGATGGATTACAGCACACTGGATTGTACTGGTAGTGCCACCAGTGGAAATGGAATAGTTTGCAGGAAATGAGAATGAGAACTGTAAAATGCTTACAGAACAATTCAATCTACTGTTCCTAAAAAATATTTGAAGATTGGCCAATAGAAACGAAATGGACTTTGCTCTGTTATGAATAATAGTATTTTGTTGTTCAACTTTCGTTAACTTTTATATCTGTAATTGAAATTTTCATTGCTTAAACGTAAGACTTATATTACTGCTTCCAAATCCGACACATGATAGAAACATCTTTCTAATCAAAATCTCATGTATTTTTATATACTTTTGTACTTAAAAACTTCTCAAAAGAGCTTGGTCAAAACACTGTAATATAATTGACAAAAAGTGTTAGTTTTTAGTATCTGTAACATTCTGATTTCTGAAGCCAAGAATTTCTCTTTGGCAATCCTCTTGATGTAGATGGATGTAGTGATGTACACAAAAATGTTAAGCTGGTTCTTTCAGTATTTGCCCAGCGCGAATACTTACAAATTTTTGCATTGCAGAACTTAAAATGTAGAGGGACTATTGTCAGAAAGGCTGGCTAAAATGTCTACTCTTTGTGCTAATCAAAGAAAAATATAAAGACAATATATCTACACAAGTCAATGAAATCACAAGATAGTAAGGAATGCTTTATATTCTGTACTACTTCAGTGAATAAAAAGATAAATAAGGCAATACATTTTTCATCATCTGGTAATTGTGTAAAGAAAAAATATGGACAACTGAAATCCAGCTAAATTTTAAATCAAGACAAACAGAAAACACCTTACATGCAATATCTGATGGATTAATTGGCACCCATCATTCAACTATAATACAAACTGAATATTGTATGGGCAAAAAATTGAGGTAAAAGAACAGAGTAAATGTGATAATTAACCTTCAATTGTTCACTTGGGATATTTCAAAAAATGCTCAAGGCCATGACTCAAATTTTCATTAGGAAGGGTGGCCGAGATCACTGCTGCATGGGAGTCGTCTTCTCATCTTCCACGAGGATTTACAAGCTGTGAAAATACAGCACTTGTGGCAACATCTTCGCCATCATCATCAGCGCGAGAGTTCCCCCCATCAATCATACTTACACTGTTGTCAAATGGCTCAAGTGGTGTCAACTGAATACCAGGGATATGATTTGTGCTGTTATCTTCAGGTTCCATGAGAGCAGAAGAGGTCTCCTCGAGCTGGAAAGCATATTCAAGGTTCCACAAGACATCTCCCATTGATGGCCTGTCAACCCCGTGTTCGGCTAGGCACTTCTCAGCTGTCTCCCCAAACTTCTTAAGAGAAGCTAGATTCACCTTGCCCACGAGGTTAGGATCCATGATTTGATCCAACATACCCTTCTTTTGCCAGGTCATTGCCCATTCTGCTATATTAACCTGCTCCCTTGGCAAAACAGGATTTAAAGCTGGTCTAGTGCAAAGAACTTCCATCAAAACTACTCCAAATGAATACACATCTGATTTCTCCGTAAGCTGCTGCCTTCTGAAGTATTCAGGATCAAGATAACCAAAACTACCCTTAACAGCAGTGCTGACATGGGTCTGATCAAGAGAAGGACCTGTTTTTGAGAGGCCAAAATCAGCAACTTTCGCTACAAAATTCTCATCCAAGAGAATGTTCGTAGTCTTCACATCTCGGTGAATAATGCTTTGAGCTGCACCAGTGTGAAGATAATGAAGTCCTCTAGCAGCCCCAATGCATATTTCAAGTCGTTGCTTCCATGATAGAGGTGGTAGATCTGTTCCATACAGGTGGCTCCTTAGGGGGCCATTGGCCATATATTCATAAACAAGAATCATTTCTGAACGCTCATCACAGTAACCAATAAGAGAGACAAGGTGGCGATGGCGGAGCTTAGATAACATTTCAATTTCAGTTCGGAATTCAGCGAGACCTTGTTCGGATCTAGGATTTCCTCTTTTGACAGCAACTTTAGTCCCCTCTTCCAGTGTTCCCTTGTATACCCTGCCAAAACCACCAACCCCAAGAAGCAGGCTCTCATCAAATTTATTGGTTGCATCTAGGATTTCTTGGATCGTGAAGAAGCGGCCAAGACTGGAGGAAGCTAAGGAAATGCAGCTCGCTGTCCCACTCTTTTGGGAAGTTGTGGACATCTTCGTCAAGGTCAGAGAGTTTCCATACAAGGGCAAAGGCAACCATGGATGCCCCTGGTGAGGAGTCTTTGATTTGCGGGCTACTAAGCAACAATAACAGACAACAACTAGCACCAATGCAGCTACAGCTCCACCAACCGAGCCAATTATAATTCGAAGTTTGTTGTTATTAGAGGGTTTCTTAGGAAGGAGACCCTCAACAGAAGAGAGCCCATCCAAACTTTTAGCTTCATTACTGATCTTCATAATCTCCAACCCGTTCATAGTTGCGTTAGTAATATCTGCTGCAATATCTGGACCAACACTAACATTCAAAGTATGGGAATCTGTGGATGAGTTGGAGACAAAGTCTTTGTAGTAGGGTACCTTCAGGCCACTGGTCAAGCTTGAGAGGTCAACACTTCCCATAGCAATATAATCGTTGATGTATAAATTAAACACTAGATTGTTCAGAGACTCACTCACGATATCACAGAAATGTACCCGAACAAAGTACCTGAAGTTTGGATCAACAGGGAAGACCCAGGTTATGTTGTAGTTCGTACCAGCAACATTTGCATCCCCCATGGCTACAGCAGTGGCATAAACCCAATTCGGAGCTGTTTCACTTGTGACAGAAGCTGGGTATTGAATGGAGGAAGGACTAACAGAAACTCTCACAGCAGAGCCGTCTACATGAAGGTATTTCTCGTCATTCTCCCAAGTTCTTCCAAGGGTATCATTTTGAGCAGAGATCCACGGACCCCCCATGTTTAACCGATAAATGGTTTCAAAGCCAAGATCAGAAAGACCACTAAAAGGGGCAGATGGATGTAGAGCCAATGCCTGGTCAGGGAAGAGTGCATCTGGGATGGAGACAACTTCAATTGCATTAACAAAGGCAACTGAATTGTTTGAGGGAACGAAGTAAAGCGTAAAGGTATCAGAAGTCACATTGATTGCATACTCCTTGAACATAGAAGAACCATTATAGTTCTTGAAAGTGAAATTGCTCAAGAGCACAAATTGGTCAGTGGCTACAGTGAATGAAGCAGAATTCAGGTTGTTTCCGGAGTTTGAAAGAGGACAGAAATAAAGCCGGACCCAATGCCGACCTTTTTGCTCAATTTCAAACTTGTAAGAAGATGTGGCTGAAAAGATTCTAGCAGATTGGTATACAGGAGATGGAACACTAGAATTGGAGCTAGCAACAACAGAATTGGCACTTTTCAACACACGAGAAGATTGTGCAGAATCAGGAAGAAAAGTTCTACCTAGATAGGTAACATTTTGTGAAGAACCACAAGAAATTAGGTAGTTATCAGCTGGACTGTATGAGGCATATGAACTTCGACATACCAACTCAAAGAGAAAAATAGCTAGAACTATAGGCACCCACTTCCCCGATTTCATCTTCACCATTGGCAATACAGCCTAGCTTCTAATATAATGAGATCTGAAAAGCACAAATTCACAAACTATATCTTCAAATCTCCAGATCTATCCAACCAATGCCAATCCAACTAACCTCTCTAAAAACTTTCAGAAACAATGTGAAAAAAAAAAACAAAAAGCACTACAACTTCTTTAAGAATAAGGATGAAAGCTTTAAGAATACACTCACCTCAGGAACAGGAAGAGAGCTAAAATGGTTAGAACGAAGTAGAAGCTGAACTGGGTAAGATAGACAGGGAAAAACCCAGTTGAAGAAACAAGACTGCCGCAATCAAAGTTGAAGAAGAAAAGCTTTTTTAGTGTAACTACATACAATAACAACCCTTTCCAGGCTGTTGATTAGGCTGTCACTACAGAGAGGAAATGAGAGGACCCCACTAGAACAATTTCATTCAAAGTCGCACTCACAATAAACATATACGTAGATACAGCCATACAGGGATAAACATGACTTCCCATTAAATCCAATCCCAGCTGTTAATTTAAGGATTTTGTTGTAGGCCTGTAGGGTCGATTCTGATATTGCATACATTGGAATATTTTAACACGAAGATGCCATGAAAGTTCTGCAACCAAGCGTTACATTGTTGTCAGTTTTTATTTATATTATCATCCTTATTCTGAATTCTGAACCTCATGTTGCTTTAAATTCTACTTAACATCCATAATTATACCATTAACATGATAATTTATAAAGTAATCCCAATTATAGTAATATTATAGCTGTGTCTGTGGTTCAGAAATATTAATGTATTTATGAAAATAGTAAAAATAAATATTGAAATATAAATGCATGAATAAATGCTAGAGAAGTGAGCTGGGAAATCTGGACCAACTATGAATTGGGACCCGCTTTTACGCGGCTTTTTCATTGAGAAGAAGCAGAGTTGACGGTGTGAAGTAAACGGTGTTACAGCTCATAACGACCGATTGGGACGGTGGTCGGATCGCGTGACTGTGTTTGTCGTTTGTGGCGTTTCAGGATGTCGTTTTTGACGTTGACGTTGATAGTTTTATGAAAATCTGATATTTTAAATCCTGTCTCTTTATTTAGTTTCATTAAAAGCAAAATAATTTTAAATACATTTTATTATGGTAAGAACTAAGAACCATCTTCCTAGTAATTTTAATTAAATTACTTCAAAATCTACATTTAAATAATTCAAACTAAAAATACTATTCATTTATAGATGAGTTTTTCCTTAAAACAGTTAAATTAATCGAGATGAGTGTTTGAATTTCACCCAAATACTTATAATGTTACATGCATTTGCGTAAACAGACACCGTACATTTATTTAATTTAAAAATTATGTCGTCAAAATATTAGATATGCATATGAATTAGAAACTGTAAAGATCATAAACATAAAGTACCTTCCTTTAATTAAAGTTTCGAATAAGTAATTAAAGATATAGATTTTAACTTTTAAATTATTTTTTAAGTAATATACCAAACATTAACATGTTTAAAGTGAAAACTTTTTTTAAAAAATATTTTTTGTTTTTGAAAGAAATATTTATTTAAAAATAAAAAGACCATTTAGAATAATAATTGTAAAGCATAGCATCAAATGGAAAGTACGTAATCATAACGACGTTAACAGATCTTTATCAAAAAAAAAAAAAAAAAATAGTGACATAATTATGGATAAAAAGGAACCTCGAGAAAGAATCTAGACAGTAAAAGAAAAGACCGTTATAACTGACGTCAATATGTGTGACAGACAGTGAGTAATTTAAACCATTTTTTTAAAGAACCGCCGCACATGGCCACGAACACAGACGTCCCCATCAGTTTCCAGTTCTATTAATTGTTAATTCATATATACGATGGAGATTAAGCTGGAGGGATCCTATTCATATTAATCGGTCACTCAATGAGGGAAAAGCGAGACATGATTTTTCACAAGGGCCAATTATTCGTGCCATTTGTCAATTATCATATTAAAAATTTTGAATTTTCTTGTTATTATTGTATGGTGATGAGCAATTTGGAGAAAGAGTGGGTGAGGGATTTGCATGTGTTAGGTTGGTTACGTGTATTAATTTATTATTTAATTTTGTCAAAAGATTAGAAGACACCGCTAATCACGTTTGGGTCCGTGAATACAGCCGAGCGGCGGTGTCGTTGTGAGCAACATCAGTCAACTAATTAACTTGTCTGCCTAAGAATGACTTAAGTCAACTAATGCTGTTGCTGTGATCTTTACTTTTAATTTCTTTTCTTTTTTCTTTTTTTTTTAAAAGAATTTCACCATATATTTGCCACCATAAATTAATATTTCCCCTCATAAAAACTTGTTAAAGTCTGAAAATTGAAAAATAAAAAAAGACCTTTCTTCTGATTTCCTGAGCTTTTTGTTATGTCAAAGTTTGTTATTATTATAAATAAGGGCCTACATTCGCTGATGTCATCTCCGTCAATCAGGATTTAGCATATTTCTGTATCAATCAAAATTCAACACGCACCCAAAGATAATAAGAATATTAATTGTCAAAACCCAAACAACCTCAAGAATAATCATGAATGAATTTGGTTCGCACATCTGTCCAAGCCCTATTTAATTAAGAATATACTTGGAATGGGAATGCAGGAAGAATCAACACGACATTAGACCACTTGCAAAAACCACTCTTTATCTTGAGCAAAACGGGTATAAAAAGGTAGTTCCCCCTCAAAAAATAGATGTTAGATACACACAAATTATACAAAACAAATAACAAACACACTATTAGAAAGAGACCAGGGGTGGATACTACACTAGTTCAAATTTTTCTAAAAAAACATAACTATTTGCAATTTCTGGATTTTGGCCCACTTTAACAGAAATATTAATGAACAAAATATTAATGTGTAATTAGTTTTTATTTTGACAGACCCTAACAGAAATTTCTAGATCTGCCCCTAAAAGAGACTATCTTAACATTCTGTGCACAAACACTTGTAATTGCAAATCGCGACCTTTGTAAACTTGTGTAACAATTAGAAAATAACACTCATATAAACAACCACAGCAGATGTAGGAATCGTTTTTAAGCATCCGAATCACTATAAAAACTCTTTTGTCAATTTTATTTACATACTTGCATGCAACTGTTATTACAGTATTTTATCCATTCTCTCTAATGCTCACATGCAAAGTCATTGATATCAAAATCAAGCATCAACAAAGTTAGTTTTTAGAAATTACAAATATAAAAATAAAACTCGATATTTTGAATAACCTTATTAAATGCTCATAAATTAATTTTGAGAATATTGTTAATTAATATCCCTTGAAATTTGATGAAACTATAAACGACATTTGTCTCATAGGAAAAGTAGACTCTAGGGTTGAAATTGGGTCGAGTATCTCGGAACTCGAACTCGATGCGATTGCCAGTGTACCAAGTTCGAGTTCGAGCTTAAGCTTGGTTGAACCTAATAAATCGAGTTCGAGTTCGAACTCGGTATCTAAAAGTTGAATTCAAGTTCGGTTAATCGAGTTTTAGTTGAGCTTTTCGAACTTAATCGAGTTTTAATTAGGCTTTTCGAGCCTAATCGAGTTTTTTATACAATGATCGAACTCAACTCGTAGGATTATTTGAGCTGCTCAAACTCAAACGCGACTCGACTATTATCGAATTGAATTCAAGCCAAAATCGGTTTTCACCCCTAATAGACTCCAAAACTCATTTAAATTTTTTTTTTTTTTAAAAGGTTGTTAATTATAATTACGAGGTTATAGTTGTAAATTAAGCAGCCCATTTATGTGTGTAGTGGTAGGCAGAGAAGATGAAACAAAGTAAAAGAATTTTGAAGAGTGGGCGAAAACGACATAACAGAAAACTGCATGAACTGTCAAGTAAAATGCCACATGGGTGATGTCATCTTCCTCATTGATTAGACTCACGACACGTAAGCTCTTGTCAAAGATTCTGTGGGCGCTGTTCTCCAACTGTTGTGCGCTGACGCGTATCTGATTATCTTCCCACGAAACTTCTAGACAAATTATGATAATGGGCCGGTTCAAACAAATATCTACCGAGCAAGTCCCATTTTCTTTTTAAAAAGGGCAGCGATTTTTATCCCCGTATCTCTCACTTTTAAATATATTTTTATTCTGTCATGTTTATCCTTGACATGATAATTTTTAAATACATTCATTTTTTATTTTTATTCTTATTATTAATTATTAATTTTTAATTTTTATATAAACTCTAAATCTAAATTTTCTAAATCAATGAAAAAAAAATTATCTCAAATAATTATTTGTTTGATGAAAATATATTACTAAGGCTATGGAAGAAGTAATCACACAATAAAATGAATTTGAAGAAGAAAAAAGCAAGTTTCAAATTTGAAATTGAGAAAAATGGTAATAAAAAAAAAAAAAAAAACCTATTTAAAGGGAAGTAGTATAACCGAAAACCTAATTAAGTTTGAAATTGAGAGGAAGGGTTGCAAATAAAACCCTAATTAAACAAGGTTATTTTTTTGTATTAAATAAGGTTTAAAGAGAATTTAATGGGCAAAATAACTTCCTTTTAAAATTTGAGATTGGGCTTCTACTTATGGGAGTTGACTTCGACTAAGCCCAAATAAGAGACTAAGCTGAATTCCCATAGCTGGGTCGGGTCAAGTTAGTGAACCGGGTGAGAAAATGTTTAGGGGTGAAAAATATATATATAAAGTTGGGGTGGGAACATGTCATTCAACCTCGTTAAAAATAAAAGTAAATAGTAAAGGCATTATAGTCTTTTCGTAACTTACCCCTGTCAGATAACAGATTTCATTGATGAATATTGTGATAGGTGAAAACAAAAAAAAAAAAAAAAAAATTCAAAGTTTGTGGTGGAAAAAGTACGTTTGTCAAAGTGGGGGCGGCCAACATTTTTTTTTCTCATAGGTACTAATCTTCTAATCTCCATCAAACTGCGCCTTTCCTTAATTATTCTCCTCAACCGTCATTTTTTTTTCGTTATTCCACCAGACATTATCCTTCTTCTACCCAATTAAGGTTGTTTTTGCTTTTTTTTTTTTTTTAAATCAGAAATAATTTAGTTTATATGTAAAATATTAAACGATGGAAATATTTTTTTAATTAGTCAGAAAAATTAATCCTCTCTAATTTTCCTATTGTTAAAACCGCAAGATAATAGACCTTTAAGAGACTTCAAAAATCAAATAAAACTTTAAAAGAAAGTATTTTTTTTCGTATGTCTTAACCTCAAGAGATTAATTTGTCCTTACGTTTCTAGGTTCAAATCTTAAAGTCACCTACCAAAAGATCATTATAATTTATTTGATCTTTTAGACTTGTAGGATGATCAACGGATCTTGTTACTGTGCATACAATCTAGCCCGATCACTTGGGTTACCCCAAAAATTAATAAAAAGGTACTATAAATATCTTAAAATGTGCGTTAACAAACTATAATAGAGGTGACAATTAAATAAAACCTTTAAAGAAAGTGTTATAAATGCCTCAAAAACATTGGTATAACAAAGCTTATATTAATTTGTTAAACATATAAATAAACAAATAATCATTTTATAATATCAACACAGATATTAAAAAAAAAAAATTCAAAATACTTAAACATAGGTTCTATCTATAATTAATTTGTCACAGAAGAAATTAACGCCAAAAATAATTGTATAGCCATCGTCTCAAGCAACAGTATAACCATCATCTCAAGCTAAGGGATGACGCACAACCACCACCTTCGTCGATTTTGGTTGTTTTCACTTTCCACAATACAATACAACTACAAGTCTGCAAAAACCTGTAGCGTTTCACCGTCGCCATTTTTCTCTGCAAAATCCTTCATATATCATACAACAAAAGTTAAAAATATTAACATAACCTTACAAAACAAACTCAGGTTTTTTATTTCAAGCTACACTCAGAGCTTCAAACTTTATCTGAACTAAACATACAGAATAATACTATTATCTTTCCAAACTCAGAATTAATACATAATAAAGCTTTTATTTTATCTGTAGGACTTAAGTAAAGCTCCACAAAATGTACAGATAATAGCTTTCCAGGACTTGCAGTAAAAGGGAAGATAACAAAACCGGGTGATGGTCTTCATGTCGGCGACGCTGACTCCACTCCGGCAGCGTGAACACGTCCCTGCCGCCGGCTTGCAGCTCCTAACCTTCCTCTTCTGGTCCACCAAAAAGCAGAAACAAACCATTGACGAAGAGATAAATGACTTCAGCTACCACCACTTGGTTATATATAATAAGCGTCTGCTTACATGGTACTTACAAATATTAATGGAAGCAGACTAAGATATTTATAACAGTTAGCTACGAACATGTTCACCGTCGATCGATCAGTCATGGGTTTAATCACGCCATCTGATGATCGCCACGTGTTAATTAGGGTTTCTAGAAGAAGCAATTTAATGTTTAGTTTCATGTCTTTTTAGCAGGAAACCTGCTAAGTATATTCATAATAATGGCGTGGATGGTTGCCACGTGTATATGAGAAAAATACATAACATGTTATCATAACAAATAAACATGAATAATTGTGATTAAATTATCTAATTAAGTAAACTTAATGAGTCACTCATTGTGATTAAATTATCTAACATGTTAAACAGTTTTGCCTTAATGACATTTTCCCACCCAATGAGTTTTTAAAATACTACTTTCTCATCTAAAGTTTATATTCCTTTAATGCCTAAAATACACCTCACTTTCTCAGTTAGCGTTTGGCGAGTTATTAGAAGTCAGGGTAAGAAAAGCTTTATAGAGTGAAGGCCAATGAATCGAATGGTGATGATCGATTGAATATTCGTCATCGAAACCAGCTAAGAACATGAAACTCTAACTTTATGATGTTTTGCAATCAATGAGAAATCAGATATCAAAGTGAGAGGGTTTTATAGAGAATAGACTAACAGTTCAAATGATGACGATAAAGAGAATATTTAGTTTTGGATAGTAACATAATGTTAATTTTGAGTAAAAAATTTGTATTTTGAAACTTTTTTAATAGGAAAGTATCGTTCAGGCAAACCTTGGGCGGGAAAAAATCGTTTACTCTTATGATGTACAAATTAATTAATTGTTTCATTCATGGCCCGTACCTGGCTGGAATTTATTTCTACAGCAGAATTTATACCTAATTTGTTACGAAAATTTAAAGTTTAATTAACGAGTAACCGACATGTTCCCAAAGATTAGCGAAATGACTGTACACCCCTGGTTACATTCATTGCAGATTCCCTCACTGATAATAACGCCGGTAGTGAGAGTTAAGTATTGACACAATTGCTGATGGTGTTATTACTAAATTATCCTTTCATCATCTTTTTCTTCATACCAGCCAGTCAGCCACTGTCACTGCCACTGCCACCACCACCTAGTTGCACGATTTTTGCCCTTTTCGGACTGCTCCCGCATCGAAAATCCCTCCTGCGATCACCAATCATCTCACCGACCTCCCACCTCCAAAAGCCCTATCCTCCCCGACACCAATTGCCTGCTGGTCGTCGCCCCCACCATTTAGGATTTCGCCTTTTGGAAGACTTAAGGTTTGAGATTTTTGAGTTTTTGATGGCTGTTTGGATTAGATTTTGATTGTGGAAGTAGTTTTGTTGTGTGTGTATCTGTGTGATTGATTTCCGGTTGCCGATGCTCCCCATCTGCAACTTTTCTGCAACTTCGAAGGTTGGCATGCCAACTGTTCGAAGAAAGTCTAACAAAAATAAACTCACGTTCACATCCTTTAACACAAACTTCAGATTCTTCAAAACAACATGAACACCATTAAAAAACTACAAGCTTACAAATCATGATTAATGAATTAAAATCAAACAAAATACTTGTCTAACGAATAAAACACCAAACACCCATTTGAAAAAAAAAAACCCAGAACAAACCTGAAGATAACCAAAACAATTGTCTAAAAGTCAATGGGAGAAGAAGTGACTGACTTGCGGCGGCAGAGGGAGGTCACGGGCGGCAAATGGTGATAGGGAGCTAAGTCTTGTCGAATTTGGTGGTCAAAACCGGTGCGGCGCCGGCGGTGTAATGGGTTGGAAATCATAGGGGTTTTGAAATTACCATTTTAACCGTTAACCGTTAGATAACACAATTTTCTGTTACTTTAAGGATGGATATCTGAAATAAATGAAACAAATTGTTACTTTAAGGATAGATATCTGAAATAAATGAAACCAGGTAGACACATCCCACTTCGCTAATTTTTGGGTGGAAACATATCGTTTGCTCTTTAATTAATTCATCACAATAAGGACTAATTAATTTAACTGAATAATTAAATTAATCTTCTCCTTGCTTAACTTTTATGCATATTAATGAGTATTTTATAAGAAACAATAATAGTATCTCTAATTATGCTCTTTATTTTAAAGGGTATCTTTATTAATTTTTAAATATAAATAACAAAATTTACATTCAAATCTAATAGACTCTTTAAATCATATTTAATAAATATGAAAGATAATTAATAATAAAATACATAGAAATTTTTAATTTATTAAATAAAATTAGAATAGAGAACTCACTCTTTAATTTATATTTAAAAAATAAAAAATTTATTGGACTCTTATTTTTATGAACAAACTCTTTATAATAAAGAGTGTAGATCATGAGATGCTCATAAATATATAAATAGTTTATATAAAATCTTACATAAAAGTGATCTAACATAATATAGTTAAATAGATTATGGACTAATATAAAAAGTCAAATTTAATAAATAATGATGAATGACATAACACTTTATTTTTATGCTTCCGTTCAAAAATTTATTCTTAAAAAATGGAATGAAATCAGAAATCGAATAATTTTTGTCATTTAATTTTGAAATAAGTTTGGAAATTTAATAAATAAGGACATAATATAAGGTCCAACAACATTTCAAATTATGCTTTTGTTGAAGAGCGAGAATATTCCACATGTTTCACATCTGTGTATTGTACAGAAAGACAGTGACCAATTGATAATAAATAATCAATAAAAGACTCCGCTTTTGAACAGGCGTCAATTGGCCTAGTTGGTAGGCAATAAATGTGGTACCTAGATGGATATCTCAACTTTTACTTACAGCTTTAACTCATGAAGAAAAATTAGAATTTAGCACGGGCAGCCGGTGGAGTTGGAATCGGAATTGAAACAAAAAATCTATTCAGAATTGTTACTATATGGTTCCATTTGATTGGAATCGATATTATATGATTTTAATTCTGGTTTCTACAGATTTTAGAAGTGGAACCGAAACTGAAACTAAAACCTGGGAGAAGAACCTGAAGCAGATACTCGACTTGGAACTTGTTTATGTTTTGGTTTTAATTGAGAAATTTTATGTGAATTGTGATGAATTGATTGAATTCAAGTATTGCCTAAAGATTAGATGATTTATGAGTCACATTGAACAAATGAATGAGTAATCAAAAGTTGAAAACTAGTAAATATAAGTTTTCTTAATTTGTTAGGGGTGTATTTATAAATTATTAAAGTATTTTTGTCATTTTTTAAACTAAAAGGGGGGTAATTGATTTTTATAGGGTACCCAGGTAAGGAACCAGAACTTACATTTTAGGTTTCGGTTCCTTGAATTTATGTCAAGTCCAATTCCGGTTCCTTTTTTTGGAAACCTGCACTATGAGGTTCTGGTTTCGGTTCCTTTTTTTGGGAACTTGTACTATGTGATTCCGATTTTAATTCTTCCAAAAAATACAGGGTACCCGGAACTGTTCACCTCTAAGAAAAATCTAGAATATTGTTACAGTAATATCTCAATTTAATAAATTTATGTTACTTTTATATTATTATAATGAATTAACGACTTTTCCCACCCAAATTATGGCTGAGTGACATTTCACCACCCACAGATTTTTAAAATACCACTTTACTATCAAAATTTATATTCCGATGACAAACATAGAGTAAACTCAGTCCAGGCTGTTGGGGCTTTTGAAGAGAGGAAGTTGATGAGTCTTTTGGTGGTAGAATGTTGGATTTTGGTGGCTGGGATGGACCGGAATTTGACTTGGGAAGAGCGGTTGCACAAACCCTAACCACTCGATTGTTGGCGATTGGTGGGTCGTTGAGAGTAGGGTTGAAAGGTTTTGATAAGTGATGATCGAGAAAGAAAATGTTGGTAGTATGGGATCGCAATGATGCTTAAATTGGAATCATAATATAAATTTCGATAGTAAAATCGTATTTTAAAAGTCTATAGGTGGAAAAATGTTATTAATAAAGGTGGAAAAGTAACCCGCCCGGCCCGGCCCGCGGCGGGTTACTTTGTTTGGCGGGCTGGGCCTAACCCGCCCGCCAACAAAGGCAGGCCGGGTTAGGCCCGCCATTTTCCCCAAAATGGCTGGCCCAGCCCGGCCCGCCAGCCCTAACCCGCCGGGTTAGGTGGCGGGTTGGGCCGGGTTAGCCCGATTTTCCTTTTTTTTTTATTTTTTTTGTTTTTTTATTTAACTTTTCAAATAAATAATTATAAATATAATTGTTTTTAATTAACTTTTCTAATATCAATAATTCAATTCAATTTTTTTGTTTGTTAACATTTCAAATATTAATTCAATTTTGATACAATAAAATTATAATATAAGAAAAATTAGACTTATTGGAGTATGGAAATTGGAATTTGGAAAATTGGAAATATGGATTAAAAATTGCAAAAACTAATAAAAATTAAAATATGAGCAAATTGCAAAAACTAATAAATGAATAATTGAGAGATTAGAGATTAGAGAATATGAGAGAATGAGAGAATTTGAGTTGTGAGAAAAATGTGAGAACTTAGGGCCAATTTATAGGAAAAAATGGGAAAGAGAAATGACGAAAAAGACCCTTTCAATGGCTATAAAACGGCTATATTTCAAGGGTAAAGAGGTAATTTGAAAAATAAAATAAAAATTTTTATTTTTTTTTATTTTTTTCAGCCAACTCGGCAGGTTGGCTATTGCAACCCGCTGGGTTGGCGGGTTGTAACGGCCAACCCGTCGGGTTGCACACAACCAACCCGGCAGGTTGTCGGGTCTCTTGCAAAAGAGACAAAATAGCAACCCGCCGGGTTGCGGGTTGCCATTGTGCAACCCGGCCCGCCCGGGGGTTGCTGCCGGGTTAGGGTCAACCCGGACCGCCATCTTGGTGGTCCGGGCTTAACCCTCATTTTCCCGGGCCGGGTTAGGGTTGACCCACCTAACCCGGCCCAAATTTTCCACCTCTAGTTATTAATTCATTATTTGGGTGGGAAAAAATCGTTTACTCTATTATAATTCAATATGTTTATGGATAATAAACTAAAAATCCATATGTTATATGTGTATTAATCTTGTACATTAGTCATAGTGGGTGGCTCTGGCTACAGCCTGGGTGAAAACCTTGGAAAAAAATCAGATTTTAAATATTATATTTATAATTATTACTATTTTTTATTAAATATAAATTATTTAGAATTTTTATTTTAAAATATCTTAATTCTAATCCTTAATTTTGTCTTTTTAATATTATAATTAATTCCATTTATTATGTAGATACAATTTTCATTTCTCTCCCTTTTTAAAAAAAAAAAAAAAAACAAATTATACATTTTAATTATGAATCTCATTATATTAAGTATGTATTTTTTTTTTAATAAAACAGTTGCTTCTAGTCACAATGTGTAATTGTTTTTCATTTTACTTTTTAATTAAGTTTAATCTTAAAAGCAATTTTTTTCAATGAAAGCCTCGAGATGTGTCCACACTCGAAGGTATGAAACAAATTCCTAATTGGGGCTTGGGTAAATGTCTGAGACCACAAACTGCTTCCAGTGAGATTCAAACCCTTGAGACCCTGACATTACAGATAAAGTTCGTCCACTAAGAGTTAAGTTACCAATTAGACCTCGGCTCATGGTTATCTTAAAAGCTATTTAACATGTTGATTTTGTCTATATTACTATCATTTTCACATGATCTATCAAATCAATAATGCATTAATGTACATAGAAATTCCATTGAATGATATTATGTTTATTTATTTAAAAACATCCATACACTATGCTGTCACATTTTGAGGGATATTAAGTTAATGTGTGTAATTACGTAAAACTCCTATAGGTTTTGCTAAATAATAGTACAACCATTTTTTTTTTTTTTTTTTTTTGGAAATTCCATTATATTTTACTATTAAAATTAATTGATGGTAAAATATTTTTGATATTTTCAAACTTTTAGAAGGATATTAGTGTCCTTTTGAGATTGTTGGAAGCTCTAGATTTTTGTTCTATTTCTCCTCAGTCCTCCCTCTTATTCCTTCCTTACTTTCCCTACCTTTTCTGTTCTCATATCTGACCTCCAACGGCTGCGACGAGGCCAAATGTGGGTTTGCATCGCTACAATGAGGCTAGTAGGGGCCTCCCCATGATTGCCTCCATGCGCTTACTTAATTGTGGCCATTCTTGGCCTCAAGTAGCTACTGAGAGGTAGTTCCCAGCCTCAAACGGTTGCTACAGGGTCGGATTTTGTTAAACATTTTGGGTTTTATTTGTCAATTTTTAAAGTTTGTGTGTTTAAACTTAATTCATCAAGTTTTGTTTTTTAACTAAGAATTTGATAATTTGACATAATATTTAAGCACATAGACTTTTGTTAAAGGTCACTCTTGAGTTTTTTATTTAATAAAAAAAATTACAGATATTATAAAATTTTTATATAAATGGGTGTTTTTCAATTTGGCCACACTAGCAGGGATATGCTATAGTTTTTTTTTTTTTTTCTTTTTTTTTCATAACGGAGGTGTCTGAGCCACTTACACGTACTTCGATTAACCCTTCGAGACCTTAAAACTACTGACCGTATAAGAGTTTCAGTGGTTATCTCTATTAGCAACTAATGAGGGATTCAAATTCAAGACCTCTTGAGTAATATATTCAAGAGTCATTTTTTTGAACTACTCAACCAGAGGTAATTTACTAAAATATTTTTATATTAATTGCAATTAACATAACAACTCATCTAAATTTGGACATAGAATTTTTAGATGGTATGAACAACTGAATGCCAAAGCATATCATATAGAAGCACCAACTCTTGAAAGTAATTAGATTAATATATAACTATATTCCTTTTTAGGTTCTAATTTAATAACTAAAATCCTATACTCATGGACTAACATAATTTCTTTCAACTAATTGCTAAACCGTTTGACCATTTTATCATCAATCAACCCTCACATACCAAAACCTAATAAAAAATTGTAGTATAAATTAAAAAGACGAATATGCTTGAAAACCGGATGGACCCTACATTGATCTAAAAAACTGACGTGGCAGACTCTGGATGGACAAAAGAAGTTTCCAAAATCTGCAGTCAATATCGTTCAGCCCCCAAAGCCTACACAACAACAAGACACTTTGCCACGCTTTCGTGCTTTACTTTTCTCAGAAATTTTAACTAACAAAACGCAACCAAATTTCAATTACCTTCTCACGCTGTTAGTGTTGACAGCTGAATGGGAACAATACTAGAACAAAAGAACTGCAAAAACATTATAAACATCGAGATTCCAGTAATGTAGGAGTGTTTATTCCTGTTTCTTTTGACGAATCCTGAGGTGGGTGTCGTAAAAGAAGGGGTTTTTTCCATCTGGGTTTGGTTGTGTGTGTGTGTTTTGTTGAGATTGGTTTTTGTAATGGGGAAGGATGATAAGTACGCTGAAGAGTTGGAAGTGGCGGTGAGAGTTGTGCACATGGCGTGTTCACTGTGCCAAAGAGTGCAACAGAAGCTGGTTTCTGATAATGGTGGCGGTGGTCATGTTAAGTCTAAGGATGATGATTCTCCAGTTACTGTTGCAGGTNACATTACAACAAGACACTTTGCCACGCTTTCGTGCTTTACTTTTCTCAGAAATTTTAACTAACAAAACGCAACCAAATTTCAATTACCTTCTCACGCTGTTAGTGTTGACAGCTGAATGGGAACAATACTAGAACAAAAGAACTGCAAAAACATTATAAACATCGAGATTCCAGTAATGTAGGAGTGTTTATTCCTGTTTCTTTTGACGAATCCTGAGGTGGGTGTCGTTAAAGAAGGGGTTTTTTTCCATCTGGGTTTGGTTGTGTGTGTGTGTTTTGTTGAGATTGGTTTTTGTAATGGGGAAGGATGATAAGTACGCTGAAGAGTTGGAAGTGGCGGTGAGAGTTGTGCACATGGCGTGTTCACTGTGCCAAAGAGTGCAACAGAAGCTGGTTTCTGATAATGGTGGCGGTGGTCATGTTAAGTCTAAGGATGATGATTCTCCAGTTACTGTTGCAGGTATGTGGGTTTTGAAGTTTCAATTCCACCATTTTGCTTTGTGTTTTGGCACTTTGTTCTTTAATTTCCCAGATGGGGTCGGTGTGTTTAGAGTAAGTAGTTCCGTAAAGGTTTGCGTTGCTTTTGTTTTGCTCTTTTGTATGTCTGTTTCGTTCTAAATAAAGGAAGGATTGGACTGAAATGATTTTGATTTAGCGCTTAAATAGTTTTGGGGAAAGATCAGCTAGATGACATTAAAAATAAAGTTGAATAATTCTTTCTTTTTGGGGGTATTTTTCATTTTTTTTTTTTTAGCAGCTTTTAGTGTTTGTGAACAAGTTGGGAGTTTTTAATTTGTGTTGAATCGCATTCTCATTGGCTTTCTTTTGATTGAATTCGTCCAATGTTGTACTTTTAGGTGTTGAGTATAATGCTTAGAGCCTTCAGTTTTGCTCTTTATGATATGATGTAGAACACCTAAGAATCTCTTTGCTGATGAGTGTTACGGATGAGATTCCCTTTTTTTTCCCCTATAAAAGAAGAAATTCAGAAAAAAAAGACTCATAACTGAATATTTTAAGGGAAGAGAAATTAAGTTTAGTTCAATGTAGTTTGAGATCACTTGGTTGGAAAATCGAAAGTAATACTGTAGTGCGGTAGTGCGGAAAGAATATATATGATATGTGATTTTAAGGAGTCCAAAAAATGTCTTTGACATTTAAGAATATACTGGTTCTGCTAAAAATAGCCAGATTGTTGTCAATTTGCTAGTGTTCTTAAATCCTTTTCCACGGTTTATTGGGTCGGGGCTGTGGTTATTGTCAATTAAACATTGCCTGGGAGGATATACTGGTTTTCTTGTTGAGATCAAATTCAACCTGTGGTGTAATTATACAAGGTGGAAATAATAACAGACACAAAAACACACTTACCCATATCATGGTTGTAGCTTTGTGCGTAAACTTTTATGGTGTTTGTTTCATACTTGGAAGGATATCGAGATTATTCAAGTACATTATAATACTGCTTTTCTTACATTCCAATGAGGGGAATGAGACATGTAGCATTAAGAGTGGTAATATCTTGTCTGATTCTAAATCTGTGGAACAATAGGGTCTATAGAGGATTTCTAGCATACTATCAGTGAGCTTTAAGTCGGTGATTTTGATGATTGGATCCTCCTGGCTTTCCTTTTCCTATGACCATATTCATTAGCATTGTACTTGCAGGTTTTTATTGGTGACTCTTCTGAGTCAAGAGTGAAAAATAACTACGTAAAAGGTGTTTGTGTTGCTTCATTTTGGTGTATCGATTTTGTGCATGGGGTAACTGTCATTTCAATCAACTGGCTAATTAATTGATGTCACTGCAAGAACAGATTGGAGCGTCCAGGCAACTGTTAGCTTGATACTTTCAGAAACCTTTGGGTCTGAAAATGTGTCTATTGTTGCTGAAGAAGATGTCCAAACCCTCTCCAAGGCTGATTCAGAAGGTTTGCTGGCTGCTGTTGTGAAGGCTGTAAATGAATGCTTAGCTGAAGCACCGAAATATGGTCTTCGGACTCCTGATGGAGCCCTTGGGACTTCACAGATTCTTGAAGCCATAAGCAGATGCAATTCATCTGGTGGTCCAACAGGAAGACATTGGGTGCTTGACCCTGTTGATGGAACATTGGGTTTTGTTCGTGGAGATCAATATGCTATTGCTCTAGCCTTGATTGAGGATGGTAAAGTTGTACTTGGAGTTCTTGGTTGTCCTAATTACCCCCTGAAGAAGGAGTTGCTAAATTATCATCATAAGGACAACCAAACTATTTCAACACAGTCTCTATCAACATCTGAGGCACGAGAAAAAGGATGTGTGATGTATGCCAGGAAAGGTGCTGGTGAGGCTTGGATGCAGCCTTTAATCCATGGAAACAAAAAGCTTGAGTGGCCGAATTCTGCTAGACAGATCAGGGTTTCTCCTTGTGTTGATCCAGCTCTAGCAACAGTTTGTGAACCAGTGGAGAGGGCAAATACAGACCAGTCCTTTACAGCAGGAGTTGCTCAGACCATGGGGCTTAGGTTTGCCACAACTCTTCTCACAGTCACTAAGTTCTTGAATTCTGAATTTACTTCTTCTGTTCCCATGGTTTTGAAATTACTTCCAAAGATAAAAGCATGGTTTTGTTAAACTATTGACTTAGCATGAGCATTGGGAGGACAAAATAAAAGAAATACTAAACAAAGATTAACACTTCAATCACTAGTTTCCTTAGATATAGAATCATACTAGAGATATAAGCTGTCTGTCTCTTTACTTAGTGGGTATCAAAAGAAGAAATCTCTATGTGCAAGGATAATAGTAAAGCAAAAAATAAGAATTATTGGTTGGTTAAGATTATGAAGGATATGCAGTTTCCTTTGTAACAAAAGTTACATAATGTACAGAATGGGTAGCTTAGGTTGTAGAGGAATTTCAGATTATTGTTATTTTAGCAAGATCTGGGAAGTGGAGTATTCACAGAATAAAAGAAGTTTATGATGAACTAAATTGCCCTGCCTTGCTTTGAGGCAGTTTCTTGGAAGATGCTTTCATTGATACAAGGAGATTGACGATATTTGTAGTAGGATGTTTCCACCTCTAATTGTGATGTTATTAGTAATTGTTGTCTCGAGTTATAGTTAACGGTAGGGCTTGATTTTTGCAATGATGCTCTCTCTTAAGATGCCTTTACCTATTGCAGTAGGAGGTCTTGGAAGTTGTGTAGTTTGCTGAAGTTGTGTTCCAATTTGCTTCTCATATTTTTCCTTTTGCTCTGTAATGGCAGAACTGAACCTATGCGTGTCCATAGTATGGTCAAATATGCAGCCATAGCGTGTGGAGATGTTGAGATTTTTATGAAGTTTGCAAGGTCAAGGTACAAAGAGAAAATATGGGATCATGCTGCTGCCGTTAACATCATAGAAGAGGCTGGTGGTGTAGTAACTGATGCAGGGGGGTGTTCCCTAGATTTCTCTCAGGGGTTGTATTTAGAAGGTCTTGATCGAGGCATTGTTGCTTGTTGTGGTGCCAGACTTCATGAGAAAATAATTGGTGCTGTTTATGCTAGTTGGGAAGCTTCTAATCTATGAAACTTTTTGTATCATGCTCGTACACTGATGTGGTAACATTTTGGTACCTTTGGCAAGGTAAGATTATATTAGCAATTAGTGTTTTGCATACTTTCAAATTCTAATGTAACTTATATTACTCATAGCTGAAAGCCATTGAACAAATTTGATTAGTTTATTGATTCATTGTATTTTGTAATTAAGCTGAAAAAATTGGGTTCGTTAATTTATAGTTTAAGAAATGAGAAACTTCTAAGTTAATTTGCTGGAAACTTAAATAACTTGTGGAAATTTGGAATACGCAGGCAGAATAAAAGATTTGAAACTCATATAAAGTCACTTTCTTGGCAGATATTAGGATCTTTAATGTTTATTTGTCTGAAATTTTGCATTGTTTTCATTAATAATTTTTCAAGATCCTTTACTTACTTGGAATTCTTCAAACCTTTTCAGGGGAACCAAATTTTCTTGAATAGGTATCAGACTAAGGTCATACACACGATTTCAGCATTGATCTGTATAATTTTGAAGGGGTGCTGGGTTAAATTAACTCAATAGTTCAAGGATACAAGCTGCTGCCGAAATATTATTTTGCACAGAAACAATAAGCGCACCTGAGTGTCATCTGAATTTTGTAGTATCATTAATAGTTCAAAGGCAATATCTCAATTATGATGATATTTTAATGGAAATTTTGCATAGATGCGTATCCAGGATTACTAATGCTTTCGGATTGCTGTAGAGCTGCATCTGGCTGGTGCAACGTCTATAGTCATAACTTCTATGCAAGAGCAATGAGATAGTTTTCTATCATTTCGCTGATATTTAATGATTGTTTGAAAACATAGACAAGTGAGATTTTTGGAATTAAAGTAGGTTTTTATTTGCCTGAGAGTATATAAAGATATAAAATCTAGTGATCTACATTGAAATGTTCAAGTCCTGATTGATGATGCAGGGTTTTATGTCGAAGAAGGTGCAGAACTCCCTGCTTGTTAATGATATCCCAGAAAGGGGTTAGTTTTTTTTTCTCTATAAAGTATTTGTGTCTGAACTACACTTCTGTATTCAATAACTACATTTCATAAACCTAATCTGCTAACTTTTCCTCTGGATACTCTTCATGGCTAAGGAAAGAAGTCTCTCTTAAATTTTAAGTGACCTTTCTCCTGGTTTAAAATTTTTTGTTTCCCCAGATTAAGTTTCATCCTATCTGTGTACATGGTAATTACTGGTAAACTTTGCTCCATTTTATTTATGGTGCTCAGCCTTTACCAAACTCTGTTCTTGCATTTTCAGTAGATAAAGATTTCTCAGTTTAGTATTCATTGTGATGAATAGTTTTCATTGAATTGTGTTTTACGTTTTACATCAGTGGAACTGCAGTACATAGTTAACTTTCAATTTTCCCCTTGAACATGTTGTGAGTGAAAAGCTGACATCTTGTTAGCATGTTTAACAATCTACATATTCTGCACATTTTTCACTCTCTGTTCCCCATTTCAAGAAAAAGCTTCCAGATTTCATGAGACTTCTCTTCGTTTAAAAGGAATATCAAAACCCTTTTTCATCGATGTGAAGAAAAAGCTTCACGACGTGTCATTTGACTATCTTCAGCTGAAAAGGACTCGACTTTCATTAATAGACAACCAGAAAAATAATCTCCCTTCAATTTGTTGAAAAAAAAAAAAGCAGAAAAAAAGGACATGTTCCCTTTTGAATATGAAATAATTTTGAAAACTTAGTTCCTTCAATCTGACTTTTGGCAATCTCAAGTTAAGTTTCTTTCATTCGCTCTCAGTCCTTCTGTGGCTATAATCATGTTTCCAGTGATCATATCCTGCAGAAAAAAAAAACATTTTATTTATAATACATTTAAATCTTGATTTTATTTTGAAGAAAGAAGAAACACATAAAGAAAGGATTGGACCAATGCATGGACTACTCCACCAATGAAAGCCCATTTAGCAAACTGAATCAAAGAAATATTTGCCAGGCATGCAGGATTCTTTATCCCAAAAAATAAAATAAAAAATATTACAGCTGTAAGCCTGCAACATGAAACAAAAAACATAATAAAAATAAAAGGCTGTGTAACTAGAAGCCAAAACCAGGACCATCTCTCTTTATTATCCACAGCCTGATAAGGGTTGAAAAATTCAAATCTTTCTTAATTTTAATATTAAATTTTGTTGTTTGACAAACTCCCACATGAAATTCATAAATAATAATGAATTAGAATTTTAATTATGCATCTCTTTTTATTGAATCAAGAGACTAATTTGATTGAAGTCAATGTTAGGTTTAATCCTACAATAATAATGGGGTTAGGTAGCTACACATGATGCTCCAATTAAGCACAAATGGTTATAGAGATTTGCCCAATTGGGTTTGACCATTTTAAGTTTTAGATAATACTCCAAACATAAATATGTAGAATTTGGTGTTTGTTTGGACTTCCTCCACTTGGAGAATGTCTAGGTATTGTTGTTTGTCTTTTTCATGTAAATGGTTTTAATAGTTCAGTGTCTTTTCTTTCAAAGTTTGGGGGAGAAATACTTCAGATTGGTTTATTGATATTTTATAGCGAAGTTTTAACTTTGAGGAGATATTAAATGAGTGATTGTGTCATTATCGCTGACAGTAAAAAAAATGAAATGAAGTTTTATGAGCTTTTGAATTCGAGTTTTTCAGACACTAATAGATAGAGGTGTATAAAAAAATAGCGTAGAACCGAAATCGACAGATAACTAGGGGTCGAGGTTCCAATTTTGATTCTAAAAAATCGAAACTGCTACTGTGTGATTTCAATTCCAGTTCCACCATTGCCGGAACCAGAATCGAGACCCAGGTAATCAGGATTGAATTGTAATTTTTGTAAACTTTTTAGGTGTATTGGTAATCTTTTGGAGTGTATTTGTCATTTTTGTGAATAGTAGAGAGTGATCATAAATTCCCGTGTACCTGAAACCAAAATCTGTGTTTCAGGTTCCGATTCCAAATCCCAGGAATCAGTCGGTTCCGATTCTAATTTCATGGGATTTGGGCGGCTACCCGCACTCACCCACCCCTACTAATATGGGTGACCATTGAGACTATTACCCAACTGACTGTTTCAGGCTTGGAGGATTAGTTGAGATATATGCAAGCTGGTCCGGACATTCTTGGTGATTAAAAAAAAAAAAATCATGTAATTGTTCAAATGTTGATTAACATTTAATTTTTACAAATCTAACTATGATAACATTGGGTGATGACCTATAAAAACATTGACTTTTTAAACTTTAAAAACTTATAATTTAAATTATATATTATATTATATGAATCATGTTGGCATATGGAGTTAGGAATAAGGGATTACTTAGCAAAAAGATAAATTAAAATAAGAAGGTCATGTGTGGTTTGTAGTAGTCAATGGGAGGCAAATATTTTAATTAAAATCCATTCAATCCTTAAAACAACTTAAAAAATATATAATTTAATTTAATTCTAAAAAATATATATATATATATACACTTGTCAAAGGTAAGAGACGTTTAATGATAAAATGCAGTGGGCTCACATGAGAATTAATAAAAAAATAAATTAAATAATAATAATAAACAGTGAGAGCTTCACTAGAACCCGCATTTGAGAGCTGTGCCGACACTAACCAATGTTCATGCCTTCTGTCTTCCTATTACATTACCACCAGATAATACCTCCAACAATAAAGGCTTTTTTTTTTTTTTCCAAGAATGAGATCCTTATTTATCTCTATAAAATGACAGGGTTGTCTTTGTAATATCATAATCCATCACTATTGTTTGTTTTAATTAGTCGGAGAATTATGATATATATTATTCTACGTGAGATTGACATATTAATTAATTACAACATGACATGGTAAGTTTATTTATGATCACATTACATAAGATAACATATTGTTTGAAATGAGAAATTTAAAAATATTTTTCAGAATTGGGTTTTTATTTTAAAGTAAATAAGGTTCATATTAAGTATAAATTTGGTTAATCTAAATTGAGTTAATTGTTTAAAAGCATAGGATTATAATCTTACCACCATACCATATTCTTAAAACTTCTTTTTATTATTATAAACTCAAGATAGATGGTTTTCAAACAACTAATACTTTATACCTTAAATATATATAATTGATCATAATTGATATGATTTGATGATATATCAATAACGCGTTAAATTATAGATTGAATTATTTGTAATCAATATAGTAATAATTGCTTTAAAAATGCGTAAAATAGTGAAATCCTGAAATTCATAGAAAAATGATGAATAAAATTGTAGCCAAGGTTATGGAATGGTCCATCTTTACTCCAATGTGAAAAAAATTGACTCAGAGTGTAATTGCTTTATATAAAGTTAACCCTATTCCTCAATAATTGTGCTTCTCCCACTAACACTAACCAAAACTTCCCATTTTCTAAAATATACGCAAAGACTTATATTAGGTTCACAATTTAATCTCATAATCTTCTCTCGCAATTGATCAACTTGTAAATAGGTTTTGTTTGCTTTTTATGGGTCTTATTTGTCAATTTATGAATGACTAATTACGAGCTGTCACGTTGAGAGTTGTGAGATTAGGTAGTAGACGTAATGTTACTGTATACGCAAAGAGTAGCACTGCACTTATAACTTTTTGATATAATTTTTTCATACAATCTTGATGTGACAGCTCGTAATTAGTCATTTCGTAATGGGTCTCGTCTATCCAAATGTAAACTGACCAATCGTGAGTTACCATCTTTCGGTTGTATAAAAAATTATATAAAAAAGTTGTAAGTGTAGTTTTATTGATAAGCAAAACCCACCACCCTACTAATTAATTATCCTAAACCCACTCTTAATTAATTATAATCTGTCTTCTACAACATTAATTATACAAAGGGTCACAGGTGATCCTACGTTATTTGTTAAAATTTAACATAATTTAATACTTGGAAGCCCTAATTTGGTGAACAGTTGAATGAATACAATTTTACTTGATTGGGACAAGATTTTATGGTTATTATACGAATATATTTTTGCTATAAATTGACTCCTTTATTAAAGTTGCTAATTTTAGTTGGGTTTTTATTTATTTATTTATGGTCCCATAGTATTATGAATTATTGCAGTAATACATTATCATTACTTTAAGTTAATTAAGTAAAATGCTCCCATAATTATAAGAAAATACAAAATACCTTGCTGATTGATTATCTTTCCTTTTTAAAACTATTTTTAGGGGATTTTTTTTTTTTTTTTTAACCGGAGTGTTCGGACCAGTTTATATGTATCTCAACTAATCTCTAGAGTTCATTGAATACTCTATCAACTTAAAAAATTAAACAAACCACAATATTATTATAGTAAGTAACTCAAAGTTTAAATAGAAGAATTCAAGGAAATGACAAATCACTTTATTGAGTGTTTTTCAGGATTTTTTAATATTTGTATGTGTTTATAATATTTTATAGAACCATATATATATATATATATTTTTTTTTTTTTTTTAATAATATTTTACTTTGACTGTTAATGCTAATTGATACTTAAAAAGAGGGAAACTTAGCTTGTTTTGGACTGAAAAAGTATTTTGTCGGGTAATTGATGGGTCGGGTGTTGAGTTTGAAAGAAAGTAAGTCGGTGAAGAAGGGAGAGAGTATAAAAATCAAAATTATAAAAAAGGCGGAGTACGTGGTTTCCTCAACCCGTCGCTTTCATTGGGTTCCCGCGTTTCTCCTAGTTGGGACCCAATTATTACTTTGCTTTCAATTAGGAAGGGTCCCACTCCCACCTTCATCAAATCTCGGTTCAAAACTCACTCCCATTTTCATCTTATTTGTATATCGAATTCTCTACTCCATTTTTTTGTTCTCTTTGTGGTGCGCCATGTGACTAAAGTCCTCTTACCCAATCAAATCAACCCACCCCACCTTCTTATTTTTTTTTAAATTATAGATTTATGAAAATATCCCTCTATTGTGCTATACTTATTTTTTAAATAAAAAAATACAAAGAACCCAATGTTCCATTTTAAAATATTGTTTGAATATATTGTCTCCTATGAAGCACTTTATCTCTATCAAATCATTGATAGTGGCAAGCTTGTCCTCCAATATTGAAAAAATTGAAGCATATATATCTAAGCCCGCTAAGAGGACAAATTTAACTAAAGCAAGGGCATTTCGGTCATTAAAAAAACATAAAGTTGCACAGCGTGGGCAAAATGGGAATTAGATAGAAGATGGCGTTTTTCATCATGATGGCTATCAAGAGGGGAGGGGAGGGGGGAACACGGCCATGCGAGGTAGCAGTAGTGAGTGTAAATGAGTAAATGACTGATGGTGATGGTGGTGTTGTGACGGTGCAGTGTTCAAGCTTTTGGTTTGGTCAAAATAATCTCTACGTGAAAAAGGATTTTCAATTAATTCAAAATCAACGGGGTCCACTCCCTTACAGTACGGCCATGATTATCTTACTCCATAATTGCCGGAGATTGATTATGAATCCTCACTCCTTACTCAACTCACCCCCGCTTTCTTTATAAAGCCCTATATTTTGTTGCTTTTATGGGATTTGTTAATTATGAGTTTATAGAGTTTATTTAAGAGTAAACGACCTTTTCTCACCCAAATAATAGGTTAATAACACTTTCAGATTTTTAAAATATTAGTTTATTATCTAAATTCATATTTTGTTTTCGATTCTAACATTTTTATGATCCCATATCATCATTATTTTCTTATTCGTTCATCACTCATTAAAGCCCTTCAAACATTTCTTCCGTCAACCCCGCTAATCATAAGCAATCGAGCGATTAGGGTTTGTACAGCCACCTCTCCCAAGTCAAAATCCGATCAACCTCAATCAACAAAATCTAATATTTTACCACCAAAAGATTCATCGGTCATTCTCTTTAAAAGCCTTAACAGTTTGAATAAAATTTGTTCTCTGTTTGCTGCCACCAGAATATAAATTTAGATAGTAAAATAGTATTTTAAGAGTCTGTACGTGGAAAAATGTCATTAAACCATTATTTGGATAAGAAAAAGTCTTTAACTCGTTTATTTAAAGTATTGAAATTTTAAAGGTATCTATAGCCTATTTTATAAATTTGATTTGATCTACTATTATATATTAAAGTTCTTTTTTGATAAATTAATACTATAAAACTCTTATATATTATATTAATCAAACAAATAACAATTTTTTTTATTTTATAAAAAATACTTGATAAGCTATAATTTTATAACCCTTGCTCAAATAAGTCGTGCTAAAAAGACTATAACATCCCATTTATGCAACCCATATGTTAAAAAAAATAATATTTTTGTTCATGCCATTTTAACCAACAATATATTAGATAAATAATGTTGTATTTATTCTTAAATGAAGTCAAATGTGACGGTAGTACTATCTTCACATTAGTCAAAACCCAAAACTCATATTGTACGACCATATAGAATTTGCAATTAACCTAAGTTAAATAAATTCTCCAAATATTTAAAAATAAAAAGATTTTATTCGAAAAATACAGAACGTAGTCAATTATAACATTTATTTAAAAAAAAAAAAAAAATGCGACAGCTTTTCAAACCCTGAAAAAAGGTATAAACAACCTACCAAACAAGTACCCGGTTACCATCTTACTTTTAACTAAAAGGATTTTCCATATTGACTATTTTACCCCTACTTACCCACCAAATTTCCTCTCTCCGTACACACTAAACCAACTTCTCACACTAAAGTTAGTTGTCTCGAAAAGATTTCCCTTCTATAAAAAATTTGAAAAACAACAAAGCGACGACGTAAAAGCGCGTGAAAGGGTACTGAGCCTGAGCCTGAGCCTGAGCCTCTGCGATAAATAGATCATCATCATCGTTCTCTCCTTCCCTTCTTCTTCTGTTACGAAAACCTCTGACACATTCACTCATTATTTCATTAGCCAATCAACAATTGGCTGAGTTGTTCTTCACTATCTGTCTACTCAAACGAAACGACATCGCATTAATTTTAGTGTACGAGTTGGATCTGGTATGTGAATTATCTAAGTGTGTGTATAACTGTGTATTCTTGGTTGAGCAAATAATGAAATGAATATATTATTATATTTCACTGACTTGTGGATGCTTTTAGCTTTGTAAATATTAGGCTAGAATGGGCAGTAAAACGGCGTCGTCGACGACGAGCAACCGAGAGTGGAGACAGATCTACGCAATCTACGGGATGGAGCAGTGGCAGACGTTAGTGTTTTTGTTGTGTCACGCGATTTTGTTCTCCGTTTTATCGGTTCTTTTACTCGTTTATTTCGAGCCGATATGCGTGACGTTTCACTCCTATCTCAGCCTCGGCGCGGCGCGTTTTGCCGCCGGTTTTGGCGGCGCGTTCCTGGCTCTCTCGGCTGTGTGCTTGTTCTTCGCGGCGGGGAATTTTTTCTACTCCGCCGTGCCGTTGCATTACGACATGGCGCAGCGCATGGTCGGGTCGGTCGCCGACTGGTCTACGGTGAAGATGGCGCTTGATATTGGCTGTGGGAGGGGGATTTTGCTGAATACGGTGGCCACTCAGCTTAAGAAGACTGGCAGTTCGGGTCGGGTCGTCGGGTTGGACCGCTCTAAACGGACCAGTCTCTCCACTCTCCGAACGGCTAATATAGAAGGTAACTTTCTAATTCTAAATAAGCTAATAATTAAAATTAAATTATGTTCTTATTTTGGAAACCTCTTAAATTAGTAAATTCTTAAATGAAATTAAAATCATATCACTCTAATATCTTCTATTAACAAAAATGTAATTTTTTTCCTTTCTGGATTTGTCACAGAAGAAAAATAGATATTGAAGTTACAGATCATGGGGAAAATATATTTTTCAATATATTTTTGTTAATTTTTATTTTGAATTTTGTCATCAAAAAGGGACAAAAGTCTGAAGCTGGAAGCATCAATTTGTGATGTGTATTATTCATAAGAATCAGAATTTTTCTGATTTTTCTTGGGTATTGAAACCTTTCAGATTACTACCTTTTCACTTTCTTAAAATTCCGGGAATTTGTTTCAACCTTGACAAATGAGGGATTTTTTATCTTCCTTTATTTTATAGTTTTGTAGTTGGTAAAATAAATTACAGATTTATTTTTATATAAACTAACTAAGTTAATGGTATGTGGAAACAGGTGTACAAGAATACGTGACATGCAGGGAAGGCGACGTTAGGAGTTTGCCATTTGGGGATAATTATTTTGACGTGGTGGTGTCCGCCGTGTTCTTCCACACGGTGGGGAAGGAGTACGGCCACCGCACGGTCGAAGCCGCGGCCGAGAGAATGAGAGTGTTAGGAGAAATGGTCAGGGTTTTGAAGCCAGGTGGCGTTGGCGTCGTGTGGGACCTACTACACGTACCAGAATACGTCCGGCGATTACAAGAATTGAAAATGGAAGACATAAGGGTTTCTGAGCGTGTAACTGCCTTCATGGTCAGTAGCCACATGGTATCATTCCGGAAGCCTAGTCAGCATTTTGCTGGCCCCGGCGAGGTCCGACTAGACTGGAGAATTTGACTTGGCAATACACACCAAAAACCCAAAGTCAAATTTGAAATGACCAAAGAAATTATAAAATGTATACATATAATTAGTCTTTTTTTTTTTTTTTTTTTTTTTTTTAATTTTTAGTTAAAAGAAAAAGAAAAATCTGGGGAGACGAAGCCGACCCAGATGGTTTGATGAATGAGATATATAGTTGTAATTTGAAGTTAATGGTTAGTTTCTTTCAGTCCCAGAACTGAATTTAAGAGTGAAGCTTTTGGTAGTTCAAAGTTTGTTCAAATCAAATTGATTGAGATGTACAAAATTTTATGACATTTAATGTGTTATTTATTTAATTATTTTTTGGTGATTAGGGTGGTCTAACCAAATTGTGTGCATCTTAATTAATCCTTTAAAACTTGGAAGTTGATGATTAAAAAAACTTTTTAGTGATCATTTATTAGTGGTTGTAGGAATTTAAACTCAAGAACTCGTGAAACCTTTTTATTTATTTATTTATTTATTAAACCAAAACAACTGCTAAATTAGAGAACTTAAGTTTTAATTGGCTCGATGATAATTTATGGGACAGATAATGTAAATGGGTTTATGAGGAATTTGTTTGAATGTGTATTGATTTTGTTCATGTGAAGTTGCCTGCTTTGAAATGTGAAATAATGGTGATGGTTTCTGAAAAGAAAGTTATAAATTTTGGAAGGATGCGATGATGCCGATTCTGTGGAGGTTAAGAGGTGATGGGATTGAGGTGGGGCTGGAGGGAATTCTCAAGTCATTATCTTAGATCTCTGCTATTGCATTACATTATGATGAGTGCGATTGAGTTAGGTTTGTCAATTAAATAATGTTGGGAATTTAACTGAAAATTTGGTGCTGGGTATTTGTCAAATCCCCTCTCAATTAATATGAAAATTTTTCCCTATCAATCATACTAAATTACAGTAATTTTCATTGATGGGTTGGTTTAGAACCCAGATCATGTGACATCGGTTTGCATTTATATTAATAAATCTTTTTTTCTTCTTCTTGGAATTGTGGCCTTTAATGGAGAGGAAATTAAGATCCAAGCTTAGCGCTGAATAAAAGATATAAATAAAACAAAGACCCTGAATGAACCTGAAGAATTTTAATTGCCTCATGTGGGGTTGGTTGTTTAACCAAAAATCCAGAAGGCATCCTCCTTGTACAATGAACTTAAAACTTTCATGTTACATAAACTCAGTCCTCGTTTCTTGAGCTAAACTAGGTTCGAGATCATGTGTTCCAGAAACCTGTGGTTTGGTTTTAGTCACCTGTCTCTACAGCTCATTAATGGCAATCTCCGAATTACTTCCACGTCATGAAGTTGAAAAGACGAAAAATCCCGTGATTTGTTAAAAATTGTAAGAACCTTTATTTACTGCCAAATTTTTAAGGTTTTAGGCAATAAGAAATCACTAACTGAAGTTCTAGCATTAGGGAAATTCAGAGAACTTCGAGTTTTTTTTTTTTTTTTTTTTTTTTCCTAATGCAATTTCAAGTATTATCTTGCCAAATCACAAAAGGGTCATGGGGTTAGTTTGTAATTTTTTGATATTTTATATGCAACCTGATATAGAATCAATTAAAGGCAGATTTTGATGGATTTCTACGATGTATTTTTCCTGAGAATCATGTGAAAGTTCGAGGATCAATTTCAAATTAGTGAAAGCTAGACCACTGAAATATAGTATAAAAATGTTGAGGAAATGACTTCAGAATTGTCTTGGAATGAAAAGTACTGTCAATTTGCTTTACAATTCACAGTGATAGAGTCTTTCAAATGGCGAAGTTGAAAACCTTTCATGTACTGGGAAATCCGAGATGGCTGGAATAGAAGTAGATAGAGTGGATCAACAGTGTTCGAGCTCTTTATAGATCAAATCAGTCTCTCCAACAACCGTCAAAGATCTGTATCTGTTGTTCAAACCAGCAACCATTGGCAAAAAAATGTATAATGAGAATGTATAACAAAGCAATGAAAACGTTTACAGAACAGTTCAAGTGAATTATTGAATCAAGAAACTAAACAAAGTTAGAAAGTAACAAAAGTTTTTGATACCGGTATTTATTATTGTAGGATTTCCAGGTTACAATGTGAGCCTTAATATAGGGTTAGTCTCCTATCCGATCTTTAAAAAGGCCCAAACTGAGCAAAGCTGAACCCATGAAGTTCTGACATCTTTTTAATTTGTACTCCTGAAAATTAGGCTCATTGTACAATGAGGAAACAAGTAAAATGCTTTTCTTAAATATTGGCATCATAGATTATGGGCTTTACTGTTGAACCCAGAAAGAAACTATTCACTGCTGAGTGCTGACCATTGTAATTGTAGATACAAAAGAACATGGGCTCCTGTAATCACTTTTTTGACCTAGTCAATAAGCTATTTCAAGTTTTTATACTTGATTTTTCTACTCAGAATACAGTGTGAAAATCAATATTGAACTAATTTAGAATATCATTAACTCATACCAATTGGTTTTTTGCTGCATGAAATCATAGCTGTAGATTCCAATTTCCAAACATCAATTTGGTGTGATTTTTAGAGTTGGGTTCAAGCAACATTTGGACACTATTTTGGTGTTTTACACTGATTTTGTGATGCCCTTAGCATTTAAGCAAATTGTTGAAGTGAAGACTGAAATAAGGCATTTTTACAGTTTAATGAAATGCAGCGTTTGGCATTTGACTGAAACAAATCATGATCATTGATTTCTTCCAAATCTGATGGCTGAGAATCATAGATGAGTCAACAATATAAAAGGAGAGAGATGCACAGTCAACGAATTAATTTTTGCTGTTGTTTTCTTCTGCTTTACAGTTTACTCTTTTTTCGCGTTTTTCTTCTCTGTTTTGAGCTGTTTGGTTCAGTTTAGAAACTCTTGTAACTTGGGTTGATTGGGTGGTTTAGTAATCAATCAAGAGGGCTGATTTGCTCTTATTCTTGAGGATTCCAGGTGAGTGTCTCTAGGAGAAGTTACAGTGTGGGTTTCTTGTAACAAAGAGAGATTGATAAGCTTGTAATCGTTTGGTTGGATCTTTACTAATAATTAGTGCAACGAGCTCTCCCATTTCCGGAGCTCAATGTGGACGTAGCTTATCCAATTTGGATAAGTGAACCACGGTATATCTTGTGTTCTTTGTTGATGTGATTTGTGTGAATCTTTGTGATTGTTTGATTTGGTGGTTAGTTTGTGTTTATTGGTTGATTATAACAGTGGTATCAGAGCCAATAGGTGTGAGGATCGTTCAATTTGGTGAATCTTGGAACAATCTAGGGTTTGTCAAAATTTGGGGGTTTTTCAAATTGAGTCATTTCGTTGTAATCTAGAGTCCTAGGAGTATAGATTCAAGTGTTAAATCATCAATTTGAAAGGTTCTTGGAAGAATTAGGGTTCTTCACTCATCAATTTTGGGGAATTCGCATCTCCCCCTGTTTTTGGGTTTAAATTTGGGGTTTCGTGAATCTAAACACAAACACCTACAATATGTCAAGTACACGACTTGAAATCACTCAATACGACGGGAAGATTGACTTTGGCAGTTGGAAGAAAAAAATGAAGGCTCTACTTTCCTATAACAAAGTGGGGATTGCTCTGGAGAAGGACGCATCCAAGTGGCCAGAGAAGAAATTAAAGAAGAAGGATGAGATCAACGAGGAAGCGTACAACCTCATAGTGATGAATCTGTCAGACAATGTCTTGCGAAAGGTAGACAGGCTAGAAGCTCCTCTAGCCCTATGGGGTAAACTCGAAACCTTTTATTCTTTACAATCAGCACATAATCTTGCGTTTTTAAAGGGTGCTTTATTTTCGTATAGAATGGATAGTTCTAAATCAATTGAGGATAACCTAGATGAATTCTTGAAAATGACTTTAATTCTTAAAGGAATTGATCAGGAACTAGGGGACACCAGCTTAGCAATGATTTTACTAAATTCATTAACCGAAGATTATATTGTTGTAAAGAATGCTTTGCAGTATTCAGGGACTGTAACTAGTTTAGATTTGATAGTTGCTGGACTCAAAGCCAGGGAACTAGAGCTTAAGGTTCAGAAAAGATCTGGGAGTAATCTGTTTGTAAAAAGTAGGTCAGAATCTAGTCAAACAGGAAAGACAAATCAGTATCAACAGGGGTCTAAAAACAAGAAAAAATGGAAGGTAACAATAAAACAAAATCTGACACTAGGAAGTGTTTCTTTTGCAATAAACCTGGTCATATAAAAAAGAATTGTTTTGATTGGTTAAAGAAACAAAAACAGGGTAACACTGAAAGCAACCTAGTATCTAGTAAGAACCAATTGGATGAGCCTGAGGTCTTGACAGTGTCAACATCAACACTGCTAAGGAATGGGTCCTGGACTCAGGCTGCTCCTTCCATATGAGCCCAAACAAGAACTGGTTTCAGGACCTAGAATTACATGAAAATGAGATTGTCTATATGGGAAACAACCAGCCTTGTAGTGTTAAGGGAATAGATAGTATAACCCTTAGATTAACTGATGGAAAAACTGTAAAACTAACCAAGGTGAGGTATATCCCTGATTTAAAAAGAAATCTCATCTCTTTAGGGACCCTTAATGAGGCTGGATGTTCTTATAAGGCTAATAATGGATGCTTGTATGTGTATAAAAATCAGAACCGAGTTCTTAAAGGGGAAAAAAGGAATGGTCTCTATATATTGTGTGGTGCTTTTGACTCTGAATGTTTTAATGCTGCTCTGCTTCCTAGTAAACTGTCTGCCACTGAAAAATGGAACCTTAGGTTAGGGCATATGAGTCAGAAGGGCATGAGTATCCTAAGTAATCAGGGGATGTCTGGTATATGGACACTATCTCTAACCTGGAATTCTGTGAAAACTGTGTGTTAGGAAAGTAACACAGACTGAGTTTCTCAAAGGGGACTCACTTAGCCACAAACTGTCTAGAATACCTTCTTTCTGACCTTTGGGGACCTAAAAGAACTAAATCTCATAGTGGAAATAGTTACTTCTTATCGATAGTTGATGATTATATCAGAAAAGTTTGGACCTTCCCTTTGAAAACCAAAGACCAAGCTTTGAACAGGTTTAGGGAGTGAAAATTACTAGTAGAAAACCAAACTGGTAAGAGTGTAAAGGCCTTAAGAACTGATAATGGGCTAGAGTTTTGCAACACTGAGTTTGACAGTTTCTGTAGAAGGCATAGAACTGTAGCTAGGACCCCTCAACAAAATGGGGTGGCAGAAATGATGAATAGAACCTTACTAGAAAAGGTTAGGTGCCTCTTATTTACCTTAGGACTACCAAACTCATTTTGGGGAGAAGCATTAGCTACCACAGTCTACCTTGTAAACAGAAGCCCATCCACCGCTATTAATGGGAAATGCCCTGAAAAGATATGAACTGGGAGGAAACCAGATTTGAACCACCTAAGAATATTTGGGTGTGCTGCTTATGCACACACTGTGGGGGAAAAACTTGAGCTTAGGTCCCCCAAATGCATATTCCTATGTTACCAAGAAGGCACAAAAGGGTACAGATTATGAGATAGGGAAACACCTGGGGTAAAAATCATAGTGAGCCGAGATGTAGTGTTCAATGAGAGTAAATTCCCTTGTAAAGACACTGTCACTGATCAAGAAACTGTTAGGAATATTGAACCTTACCCTAACCCCACAGGAAGTACACCAATTGAGGTGGAGCAACTTACATATCAGCCTTACCCTACCTAACCAGAAACAGAACCCCAAACTGAAACTGAAACTGAAACTGAACAGTTAGAACATGGACAACCAGAAGAAGAAACTGGTGAAGAAATTCTTGAACATCAACAAAGTGATCTATATCATTACCAACTTGCAAGGGATAGAACCAGAAGAGAGGTAAGGCCACCTGCCAGATATTCCTATGCTGACCTAATCTTTACTTCTTTGCTTGCAGGTACAAAAGTTCAAAGAACAGAACCTGAAACATACGAGAAGGCCATGATGTCTAAAGCTAAAGACAAATGGAAAGCAGCAATAAGGGAAGAGATGCACTCATTAGAGGTAAACAAAACCTGGTCTTTGGTACCCAAACCCAAAGACTAGAAACTTATTCAATGTAAATGGCTTTACAAATTAAAGGATGGTATGTCTGTTTCTGATCCCCCTAGGTATAAAGCCAGACTTGTTGCCAAAGGCTACACCCAAAGAGAGGGAATAGACTTTAGTGAAGTCTTTTCCCCAGTAGTGAAATACAAAACCATCAGGGTTATGCTCTCCATTGTTGCTCACCAAAACTTAGAATTGGAGCAGCTTGATGTCACCACTGCCTTCCTACATGGCAGCTTAGATGAGCTGATTTTTATGTGTCAGCCTATAGGTTTTATTGATTATAAAATGCCAAATCATGTATGCCTGTTACACAAGTCACTATATGGCCTCAAACAGGCCCCTAGGCAGTGGTACAAAAGATTTGATACTTTCATAGTGGGCTTGGGTTTCAAAAGAAGTAGATATGATAGTTGCTTCTATTTTGATTTAGATGAGGATCTGCCTTTATATCTACTGTTATATGTTGATGACATGTTGCTTATTAGTAGATCTAAGTCAAAAATACAAGACTTGAAGAAGAAACTAAGCCCAGAATTTGCTATGAAAGACCTGGGTAATGCCAAGAAAATGTTAGGTATGGTTATATCTAGAGATAGGAGAAATAACTGCTTAAAACTTGAACAGAAATCATACCTGGAAAAATTGATAAATAGGTTTGAAATGACTGACTGTAAACCTGTCTCCATGCCTTTAGCAAACCATTTTATGCTAAGTAAAAGTCAATGTCCTAAAACTGAAGCTGAGATGATAAAGATGAATGATGTACTATAGACAACAGGGTAATAGCTTCTATAATGTATGCAATGATAAGCACTAGACCTGATCTTTCTTTTGCCATATCAATGCTTGTAGATTTATGTCCAACCCTGGCAGTGACATTAGACTGCCTGAAATGGGTCTTAGGTACCTTAACAGTTATTAAGTGTTGGTTTAAAGTACTCCAAAAGAACTACTATGCTTGATCTTGTGGATTCGTAGATTCTGATTTTGCAGGTGATAAGGACACATAAAAATCCACTACAGCCTATTCTTTACACTTGGAGGAAACTGTATAAGCTGGAAATCTTAGTTGCAGCCCATTGTAGCGTTGTCATCAAGAGGCAGAGTACATAGCCATAGCAGATGTGTTTAGGAGGCTGTGTGGTTGCAGGGAATGTTGTTAGAAGCAAATCTCTCTGATGGGAAGGTCATAATCTACTCTGCAGCCAGAGTGCGATTCATTCAGTAAAAACCCCGTCTATCACGAAAGAACCAAACATGTAGATGTCAGATCCATTTTGTGAGAGATCTAGTTGCCAGGAGTAGTTGAGTTGAAGAAGGTTGCACTGAAGAAAAATCCAGCAGATATGGGGACAAAAGTCATTACACCAGCAAAGTTCAAGCATTGCTGAAGTTGCTGTCAGTGGAGTAATCACAAGTGACTTGGAGCTATGAGGGATATGGTTTAGAGTGAGCTGCACTACAAGTTTCAAGTCTCAAGGTGGAGATTGTTGAAGTAAGACTGAAATAAGGCTCTCTATAGTTTAATGAAACGCAACGTTTGGCATTTGACTGAAACAAATCCTGATCATTGATTTCTTTCAAATCTGATGGCTGAGAATCAAGATGAGTCAACAATATAAAAGGAGAGAGATGCACAGTCAACGAATTAATTTTTGCGGCTGTTTTCTTCTGCTTTACAGTTTACTCTTTTTTCGCGTTTTTTTCTCTGTTTTGAGCTGTTTGGTTCAGTTGAAACTCTTGTAACTGGGTTGATTGGGTGGTTTAGTAATCAATCAGAGGGCTGATTTTGCTTATTCTTGGGGATTCCAGGTGAGTGTCTCTAGGAGAAGTTACGGTGTGGGTTTCTTGTAACAAAGAGAGATTGATAGGCTTGTAATCGTTTGGTTGGATCTTTACTAATAATTAGTGCAGCGAGCTCTCCCATTTCCGGAGCTCAACGTGGACGTAGCTTATCCAATTTGGATAAGTGAACCACGGTATATCTTGTGTTCTTTGTTGATGTGATTTATGTGAATCTTTGTGATTGTTTGATTTGGTGGATAGTTTGTGTTTACTGGTTGATTATAACACAAATTATAATAAATAAATACAAAAAGTTCACATACATAAGCTCAAAGCTTCATAAATCATCTAAACACGTTAATCGCTTACCTGAATTAAAGAGGAGTTTGAAAGGTTGAGTTTTGATTTTGAAAGAGAGGTTTTGTTTGTTAGGTGTTTTATTGTAGTTGCTTAGGGTTCGTTTTTGTAAAAATGAATTGAGGGCATGGAGTTTTAAAAGAGAAATTGTTTTTAAGTTCTTCAGTTCGGGTTTCAAAATTCCAAGATGTAAACCGAACCAACAATCGATTACATTGAAGAGATTGGTGGAATTATATTGGCTTTAAGAAACTATAGATTAACAGGAACAATGTCACCCCAGAATTAATGTTGATTTGTAAAATATATACTTTACAGCATAATTTTGAGTAAGATTTGGAGGGAACACAGGGGAAAAGAATTACGGTATTTAATTTATAATAATATTGAAAATTATTTTTCTTCCAAGAACGGTCCCATGGTCTAGTGGTCAGGACATTGGACTCTGAATCCAGTAACCCGAGTTCAAATCTCGGTGGGACCTTTTTAATTTTGCATTCTTTTTTTCAAACGAACTTGTTTTTTGTATACTATAAATATGATTTATTTTTTTAACACAAATAAACGAAAAACATCTAGATTTTAACATACGAGTTTGTAGAAAAGTTCATAAGTCTAATATTATCGTATTCATAATCAACTTCTAATAAAATGCCCATGTGTATACAGTAACTGAACAAATGTTTAGTTGAAGTACCTAAATCAACCACACGAAATTCTGAAACATTTGAAGCAAATCTACTTCTGGTTAACATCATGAAATTGTTTGAACGGGCAAGGTCCCGAAGTGCGAAAGGGAGTGACATTTAACTTCTGATTTATTCAAATTTAAATTCAAGAATCTTTTCCCCAGAAAATAAAACCCTGTGTAGATTACATATTCAGCATCAAGCACTTCAACTGTTATGCATGGAATGTACACCACATCAAGAAGTATCAATACAAACTGCAATTTTTGGATTCATTTTTGTACATGAAAAAAAAAAAAAAATTACCTAAATTAATTTGTGAAACAAGTAAATCATGTATTTCTCGGTCTCTATCCGGTGTGTTGTACATTGAAGAGTACAAAGTTCCGCTGTACATAAGTCAGGGCGCTACATGACAGTAACAGCCGATGTTGAGAACTCCCACAAAACTACCTAAAAATGAAATGCAACTCTACTCGTGATTTTTCTAACAATCAGGAAAAATACAAATTTACAAATATCAAAACTTAATGCCTAAATTTATCTCTGTAACGATCAAACTTTGATCAAGTTGAAAAACTTTCCATTATATTGTGTAAAGAATCACGATGACCTGGGAAAAGTGGCATGCCGGACAAGTTCAGAGATATTATGCTGGAATGCAGAATGAGGAGCTTAGTGCTGGAGGCAAGACACAAATCAAATGGGGTCCAGGAGGATTGCAACTTATATTTGCCTCATTCACATCTGGGAGGCCAAGATGTGGGGGACGAACATAACCCGCGACCAGTGGCACACATAATATAGAGATAACTATCCTTGAACCTGTTACAGTGAAAAGAGATGGTTAAGAAAGCCACAGAAATGGAGAATATGAACATTTTTTGCTAGAGAAAAGCTACTTAAACTATTCTGTACATGAAAATTTGAAAGCAAATGAAAGTTTGTTCGGTAACCTTGCTTTGTGGGGAAAGATACATGCCCTCTTTTCCTCCCAGCAATCATCCAATTGTCAGAATTAGCATTTACTTCATATAACACCTCATCCTGTTGCACAAATGATAAGTATCATTAATAAATAGCCTCCAAAAAATCAGCACAGAAATCATGAGAATCACAAATTCCTTGCATTTGATGACAAATGCCAATGTAATTGCACCCCATCTTCAATTATAACCTATCTGACCCAGAGCGGTGACAGAAGAATTGAGAAAAAGTGACCAGCAACATAAATAAGGTTTCATTTGAATAAATTTCAATCTTTTGCTGAGCAAACTGAGGGAGAAACACTGAATTTCCCTGTTTTATGCGGTCTGCGTCTCCAAATGATGAAAACTCACCTTAAGTATAAAAGTTTTCACAAGGCACTGATGAGGTTTCCACATTTAAGGTCCAGGAATCCAAATCAACAAAAAACTTGTAAACTTAGTTAAACTTCTTTTCATACCTCCCTTATCAATGTAACCTCCTAACTTAAATGTGCGAGAAGATATGGGAAAAGAAAACTCATACTGTTGTAGGTGGTTAAAAATTTCAGCCATCATACGGAACTATCGAAGTGACATGAGCTTTTACTAAAAAGGCACAGGGACTATCAGCCCAGTTTTAGGTTGAAATTTTTTAACTCTGCTATAAAAGAAATTTTAAATCCCTCGATGTTCTAATTGAAAATTTCTAGTTTAGTGTTCGTATAAATTAGACTGTTCAATTGGCTTATTTTAGTGTTCGTATAAATGAGAACGTTCAATTGACTTACTTTGCTTTGAGAAGCTTCATTGTCCTCAAAATCCTTTAACCTTTCAACCCTCCATTGCATGTTAACAAGCTGCCCAACTCTAAGGCCACTGGAAGGAAGAGGAAGAAACCCAACAGCCAGGCTGGGATCAAGCACAGGCCGCTGCAAAACAAGAGCACTCCTGAAGATCAAACTGCCTCAAGCATCCTCAGTTCCAGTGGAATTTGAAGTCACAGGAGGATGTGCTCCAGCTGTTCTATCACCAGAAATTCCATATTGGATATTTAATATACTCTCTGGTCTGACTACCTCAACTTCAACTGTAAATCACAAAATCACTTTGGTTACTTGTCATAAATACAAGGCATCAGATCACAATTAAAGTGGAAAAGATGAAGCCAAAAGTCCTGCAGGGAGTTTGAATCTAGTTTGAATGGAAATAAAAAGGCCAATTTCTATTCAGAGTCAAAAGTCTATACCTTCAGTAGGCGTCTTCTCCAAGCATATACTAAAGAGGATTCCTCCTCTAGAAGTTGGAGAAATGACAAGTGGAAAAAAGCCAGAAGTTGGCCTCCCATTAGTTTGTCCTGTATGAACAAATCCATCTTGAAGATCAAGCCAAGCATCATATATAGTCAATGAGGCCTTCACTTGTGAGTGAAGTATCACCTGAAAGAAACAAGTGGAATTTATAACTAAACAAATAAAACTTGACATGAGAAACTCAAATATTTTCCAATCACAGCGATAAAATAAAGATGTAAATCTCAAAAGACCCCCTTTTGAATTAAATTACCCTCTTTAGCTGATGTCTACATAAATATGTACTTCTAAATATGGGAAATTCTACACCCTAGATGTTTGCTACTTTAAGCTCAATTCCATCCAGTAATACTTTATAAAAATCTAGTACAAGCTCAAATAAGTATAAACCATACATGAAAGTCAGAATAAATACCTGCAGAAGTATAGTACCATCAATGCATTTGTCTGAAACACGTGTGCTCACATGGAAAGGGTTCGTGAAATGCACAGCTATTGTTCTGCAGATCAATGCCAGGTAATTCAATAAATTTTATACAGATGAATAACAGATGAGAAATCTCCACACAAATAAACACACAGGAAACAGAAAACAAAAATTTAAAATGACATCTAAAAGAATGACGGAAAAAAGAGAATGCCTCTCAAATATCTGGTTGTGGGATACTCCAAATTCAAGTTTTAGAGCAATCGTCCTCATTCCATCAACGATGCTCTGTGTCTGGGGGGTTACTGTACATTAACATATATTATTGTTAATAACAGTTGAACAGTAAGAAAGAAATATATGCAGCAGACACAATAAATCAAAACCATCAAAAGTTTCATTTCATTCCTAACCTGAAGATGATCCTCTAGCAAGACTTTTGTTGATAGCACAAACTGGGATCCACAGAATAGAATTTACATTACTTGCCCAATCTGGAAGTTGAATTCTACCATCATTGAGACGCAGCTGCTCAAAGTCTTTATTAAAAGCCAACGAGCTGTCCTTTTGAGTACTATGACGGTTTCCCAAGTTGGCAACACTCTGTGATACACTATTGTAGCTCTCCATCTCAATGAAATGTGATTCTTCAATCTTCAGACCTGGACCAGTATCAATATGCAAGACAGCACCTTTTAATGAGTAGTCAATCGGGCGTATTATAATGCCAACCCACTGAGCTTCATTTATTAGCAAAGGAGATGATATAGCTGCAGCAAGATCAACCAGAGGTCTTGGATTGAAAACCTGAAGAAAAAGGAAAATTTAGGTGATTAAATAATACATACTATCTACCCAAACTTGAATGGATTGACTCTTGACTCAACAGCGGAAAAAAGTAATGGAAAGAGAAAAAAAATGCAGATAGACATCATACGCATAAACATAGTTGCTATCATCAGAATCATCATAAAAATTATTAGATACTACTCTTAAACTCTTAGAACCATTGTTTTATTGAATGAGAGAAACTACCTTCAAAATAGGCCTGGTTGGCTTTTCATAGCTCATAAAATCATCACTGTCAGCTGGCCCAACCTTGGAAAAACTATGAGATCTGAATCTCAGGAGTCCAATCTGCCCAGTAAGAACTCCCAGGACATATGAACCTGGTTTTTGTGGTGGTAAATCAACTGTAATGCTATTCTTACCAGGCTTTAATACAGTTGCATTAGAACTCTTTAATGCCTGAATTATCAGTGTAATAATTGATTAATCAAGATGCAACAAAATGTGTACCACTCATCTATATAATACTGAATATAAGTATCACAAACGCATACCTTAGGACCTTCATCAGCATTAAATGTAGCAGTCAAAGTGAGACTAAGTGAATCAAGGGTTATATCATCAGGAAAGCCACTCCAAACAGTTACAGATAGAGTACCAGGATCACCATCACATAACTCCAAAGGTGGCCCAGGGTTACCAGAAAAAGTAATTAGAGATGATACATCTAAGGGCACAGGATTCTTCATTTCACTGTGAGCAAGACTAATAACCTCTGACTGAAAAGCTTGGCGTTCCTTTGTAGAGAATAATCCTTTATCCAGTGAAAGCAGTCTCACGCAAGATAATAGGTAACCGGCTTTATCATTTAGAATCTTCTGACACTCAGCTAAATTGGGCAATACTTCAGCCAATAAATCCTGCCATCCTTCTCCTGAGTAAAGGGCACAAACCTTCTCATATGATTTTGCAGCTAGATCAAAGTTTCCATGCTTAAAGCAAACAGCTGCTATTTCACCATCAAGGACAACTCCATGTCTTTTCCACCATGAATGATGATAATTGTCAGCAGCACCTTTTGAAAGATCCAAATATTTTTGCTGCCATGAACAAGGTTCAAAGTTAAAAAGAGAGAGAGGTATAAATCAAGGTTGCAAGAGCGAAACAGATTAAATCATGAATGCCAATAAATCCCCCAGTGATCAACCACATCCGGATATAACATGTCCGGAATTTATAACTTCTGATATTCTAAGTTAATCCACTAACAAAAAAGGCTGACTTTGTAGAAGTTCTCATAAAATTTAATTTGGAAGGAGCTATTCTACTTTAAATGAGCAGTGGCGTATCTTTTTCACCAGATCATGGGGTCATCTCATGAAATACAAGTTCAAATTGAGCATGAGAAGTGAGAAGAAATTCTTCTTCTTCTTTTTTATTATTTATTTATTTATTTTATTTCTTGATAGGATCCTGCATGCTTAAAACACCACAGATTTTTCTTTAAGCAGAAACTGCATGAATTTAATACCTCAAATTCCTCCACAGATGACAACGATTTCCAAAGATCAGGATTTGAAATTGTACGCTTCAGAGCATGCTCAGATGCAACAAATATCTCAGCAAGTCTCATAGGTCTATCAATTGGGCTATCAAAGGTTCCAGGAGAAGAGTTAGTGCGCGACATAGTAATTGCTTGTAATTTATTTGAAGGGGACATCCTTAATGATGCATCAGAACCTGATCTGCCAATTGACAAACCACTACAAATGAGAACTTGAAAATCCCAAAAGGATAAAGTAAATAAATAAAAATAGAGATGACTTGAAATAAAAACCTTTAAAATGCAATCAACATCAAACAATGTGGAAAAATCCAAAACGCTATATTTGGTTCATATTACTAATTTGTATTACCCATCAAACATTTCTAACATATTTCCGACACTAAGAGAAGCCCTTCGACGATTGGCCTCGCGTAGTAGTACTGAAGGTTCAAGAGGCAAAGGTTTTCTCTGGATACCAAAGTGCTTGACTTTTGGATTTTCTTGAAGAATCAGCTGCACAATACAAACAAGCCAGAATATTTCATGTCTTTTATGAAGCAAATAGAATTACAACATGCCAAAGGAGACATAGTGTGGCAGCTAAATTTTGATGCTTTTACAAATATAAAACAAAACATTAAATGCTCTTTCGCCATTCAATTGCATCTATCATTTAAGAACTTACCTTTTCTTTAACAAACACTTCAGAGGAAGCGTCAGGTGGAACTGAAGGCCAAACTGATGGTTTTGGCCAAGGTAGCAAACTGAGAGAGGCACTGCTCAAAGCAAGAGGAAATAAATTAACAGATGAATGATAAATCGACAAGAAGGTCAAAATTCGGCATGGTTAAAGGTAATTTATTTTCAGTCACAAGGTCAAGCTTATAGAATAATATAACCAACAACCATAATAGAAGGCTCAAAATGATATTGATCTTAAAAAATCAATTCATACCTGTTGACAGGGCTTCTTTCTATATCTGATCCATATCCAATTAGGTATGCAAGCCTCATGAACTGCAATTATAATAAACCCACTTAAACAAGATTTCTATATATAAGGTTCAAAGAAAAAAAGAAAAGAAACAAGTTTCACAGTCCATAATGGTGTGAAATTCTACAAAATATATTCAGAGAAAGTTGCTGGTGCTGCCAGAATTTCTGGCCCCATTATCAGTTGAAAACTGAATCAATCACTTTAAAGTGAAGGCAGAAAAATTTAGCATCATAAAGAAAACTGTTATCAAATACCAGATATAATGATTCATTATGAAGTGCTATAAAAATTACCTTAACTCTACATAAAGAATACAGGTCACCAAGGAGCCGATAGAACTCTTTTTCTATATCAAATGCTGCAAGTCCTTCATTGTAATCAGAAGAGGTTGCACTGATTACAGCCAAGCATGCACTAATTACCCAAACTTCTCGCATACAGAAAGGTAATATATTCTAGAAGAACTCCAAGAGGAGTGAAAAAAGAGAGCAGAAATGCATGATCAGAACTAATACTTCTTAACAAGTGCTTAATATAAAACTGTATAAATTAACTAAATGAAACAAAAGATATTAGATACCTCATGTTGTGCCAGGGACTTTGAAAAGGTAATTATAAATGAATAACCTCTTGATGCAACCTCAAAGGGACGATTCAACTTGAATAAAAGCTGCAAATTAACATAAATCATTGATGATAAGGATTTCAAGCTAACCAAAAATGAAAAACCTCTTTATCCAACCTCATGTCGAGCTTAACAAGTGCAGTTCAATCATAAATAACTTAATACAACCAATTTAAGGTTGAACAAGAAATTCCCAGTCTTGCACACCTTTGATTGACAAGCAAACAGATATTGTCTAAATTCAAATTCCCTGAATGAGTCATCTTGAACAATTTGTGTCAATGGTTTATTTGCAGGATTAAGAAGTGCGGCTTGATCATCACCATGGTCTATGCCTCCAAATTCCCTTTGTTTCCCAGTCACATTGACTACATAAAATTGGAATAAAATATGAATACTTGAGAAGAAGGCTAAAACAGAAAAGAAGGTACTGCTTTTACCAATAAAAAGAAGCATCAAATGTTATTGGTATGAAATTGCTACAGAAATCAGTAACATGCCTAGATTTTCAAATTATCATACAAATTTCTTGAACTCTGGAACATTGAACAAGTCATGAAGAACAACACTTTAGCAGTTTCAACTTTTTTTTTTTTTTTTTTAAAAAAAAAAAAGGATATGATTAAAAACTATTATTCAGAGTGCCTTACCCTGACCATTTTATGGGCAGAACAATTTTAGCAAATGAAACTATGCATTCAAGTTAATTTTTTTCAAGTGACAACTACATAATCAATAAAGTTGACATTTACATTCCAATACCTGATAGTGAATCCTTGCATATATTTAATACCTTGGCTCTGTCCATATTTAATCGAGAACAAGGTATTATGTATTTCTTTCAGAGAAAATCTCCCATAGGGAAATTTATAGGCCAAAAAAATCCAAAAACAGAACACAAAGGTTCAAAGGTATCTAGTCTTGTATAAACACACTCCTTTTTACTTCCAACCTAAGCAGAAAAAATGATATATCTAGCAACACATAAGAAACAATAGGCACCTGTTTCCAGATAGCACAATTCCAATTCATCATATTCACGTAATGCATCTTCATAAAGATGAGCCATCTCAAATATAAAAGCCAGGCTTTCCTGATAACAGGGAAAAAAAAAAAAATTGTTAAGTCAGAAACTTCCAATGTGTAATTAAGATTCAAACCCCGTTTTCCACCCCCTAATGTTAAACTTCATGAATGTAATAAACAGGAGGGATACATGCCATGACAACAATTCCTGAGAGTTGAACTCCACATTTACTGTGTCAAGTATGAAGCACTATCTCTTTCATACATTTATAGAACATGAAATCAAGGACATGCTCTTCCATTGAAAACATATTTACATGAGAAATAAGAGGCATATCATTAAAAAGCAAACTATTGTAATTGACAATTAGGAAATATTCTCCTTGCAGCCACATCATCTTTTTATATATAGCATTCTGTTCGTTTTAAGTTTGAGAAGAGAACCAACCTTCAAAATGAAAAAATTACAGAAGTTCCAGACTGGAAAGAATCGCTGCTCACTTAGTTTGCGTATCTCATCCTCATAAAACTGCACACGCCTATCCAATGTATTCCGAATGGACTCCATAATCTTGGATTCCAAGTCTTCCCAAAAACTTGGTTCAGGGCCGTGTAGATCTAATTTGCAGCACCTGAAGGATTTTAAAGTATTAAAAGAGAACAAATAGCAACTTCAATAGATACTCCCTTGGTACACCACACATATTGGGAAGAAAGGATTTCGTCGGTAGGCATTTTAAAACCCCTTTCTACCCCAATAAAATATTCATATTTTATCCCAGTAATATAGCCATACTTGTGAGTTGGCAAAACAATTATGCTTTTGAATCATCAATCATAACCATCAGAAAATTTAAGATAACTGGGCTGCTGTATCTTACTAATTTTTATTTCTTTTCTGATGTGTTATGATGGTTTTACTGCAGATTCACTTTCTTCCATAATTTTGCTATCTCTCAGTTAATAAAATTTTACTTGTTCATAAATAAAATATCATAATCATTGACAGCAAAAGTGACATTATGAATCTGCTCAAGAACACATAAATTCCTTGGATGCTATTTCCAGTGACATCATTACTACTGGCCTTGTTAATAATGAACTTATACAATACCCTGATATCACATTGCCCATTGTGTGAATATTGAAGTTGTAAAGAGAAACTATATACTGCAGTAGATATTAAGTATAATGCATAAGCTTGATCAATACAGTAAACTTTGAGTCGAACTCGGATTTGTGCATTGTTCTCAATGCACAAGTAAAAGTACAAAGAAAATGTTCAAAACAGCAAGATTACCTCTCTCTCTTCTTGGCGTTAAAATCAACTTCAATTTTGGCATATACTTTTTTTGCCATTTTGGTGGCTTGATCATTGCTTGGATGAGCTTTAGACACAAATACAATCAACCATTCCCGCTCATCATTTTGGACAATCAATTTCAAGCGTGGTTTAAGAATGGTTTTGAACTCATCAAAATCCTGAGGAAAAAAATATTGAAGCAGAAAAGATTAGCAATAATACAATAAAACACTGAAGTAGGGAAAATAAGAAAATAAAGTTATCAGCTAACAATGAACTAAAATATATAAGTTTATAAGGCAAAAAGATGTAAACTAGCTATAAGAATCCAACACCTAAGATCATGTAGAGTTTTAAACATTTCTTAAAATATCTTATTGAGTCTAAACCAGTGCCGAAAGTAGAACATATTGATTATGATACCACCCAGCAGAATGAGCATTATTGACACAGTGTCAATAGTTTCAGTTCAAAATCTGTCTCATTAACATTAAGACAGTGTCAATAGTTTCAGTTCAAAATCTGTCTCATTAACATTAAGATACCCAATACCCAGGAAAAAGAAATTAAATATCATGGATGAACTCAATAATTTGCAAGTTACCTCACATGTCACAAGAACTACAGTTGCATATGGTTCTCGAAACCAAAACAAAAGTTGCTCCTGCGGAAATCTGCTACGAAGTCTTGAATCTGTTGTTAATATAAATTCAGCAGGCAATTTCTCCACAAATACAAGATTACGTGTCTTGTTATTCAAACAAGCTATCTTAAACGGCAACCGTTCCTCAAATCCACTCTTCACAGTTGGCCACAAATCACTCACATCTTCAACTGCAAACCAGTTCACAGTAAAAACATTAACAACAAACATAACAGAATTAAATTTATCACAAGTTGCTTTTCTAGTAAACTTATATTCTGATTTCATATCACTCCTTGGAGAATCAAAACAAATAAGTAGTAACTAACTCATGCCCATCTATTAATTAGTCAACATCCAACAATTATCGTTAAACCAAATAATAACTTCTCTTACTAATATGCATACATATTTTCTTTAGAAATAAAATTAACTGTTAATACAACTTTTAAACATCGAATCGAACATTTAAATAAAAAAAAAAAAAAACAGCAGAAACTAATATCCAGCAACTTTCACTTATAATAAATCTAAATTTCTCCAACTAATGCCATACAAAACATACATGCAAACATATAATTTCCATTAAAAATTTACAGTTTATACTAATTTGAATAAACTAATCGAGCACTAAAAGATTAAAAAAAAAAAAAAAAAAAAAGATCAAAAACAAATATCCACTACTATGCATTTATTGTAAAATATCAAATTCTCCAAATAATGCCCTAGATACATACACGTAACTATACAAGTTTCTTTAAAAAATTACATTTTATACTAATTTGAAGCTGCTAATCGAACACTTAAAAAGCAAAAAATAAAGAAACCTTGATCCAGGCACAATCAGATAAAAAAACAACAAAATTATCACTGAAACTAAAAAGAGTTACTAATTGTGAGATGAGATTTACCAGAAATTACGATGTGATCACACGCACTCTTGATCGACTGAAACTGAGCTAAATAATTCGCCATTTCTGTTATCGATCTACATAAACTACAAGCAATCCATGGATCGATACATACACATTTACAAAGTAAATGTATATGCAGAGAGCAAGCGAGCGAGCAATATTAGAGAGTGAGAAAGATCTTTAACTTTGTTTTTTCTCTCAAGCGTTGAGAATCGAGATTCACAAGCCGGGGATCTAGTGCTTCGCGGCGTAGCACACGCGATGATTGGGACTTCTCATTTGACCGTTAGATGACTTCCCTTTGTTAATATTACTGGGTGTTTGGTTTTGGGATCTTTCTTTCGTCCTTTATTTCTGGACATGGGTTGGGTTATTTCTACACTGGTGGAGGATATTATCCTATCCTTATAAATTGTAGTACAGGGTTGTGTTTGGAAAATGAGTTGCATTAATATATAAAATTACATATGATTAATAACAGTAATCCCCTTTATGTACAATTGAACAATAAAAATTCTTCTGTAGTTTTAGAAATAACATATAGCCCTCTATCGTTAATTTATCAGTGTTAAAATAGACAACAAATGGACAATTAGGTAAATATTTATTAATCTATCATACTATAAATTCTAATAGTATATAAATGGTAAGAGAGTTTTTGGTAATTTTGAAATTTTAGGAGGCATTTGTTATTTGATTAAACATTGGGGGGCGAGACGTGTATACAAGGGTTTTTAATTAAATGACCAAAACTCAGGAGGGCCATAAAAATTAACCAAAATCCCAAACCTTATACTCATATGACCAACTTCTTCGTATAAATACGAACATGCCCTTATTCCTAACATTCAAACACTTACCAACTAAACTCACATTTTTTTTTTCACTATCATTTTTAAAACTTTCCCACCAGAAACATAAAATCAAGCCTACGAAAAAGACTTAGGAAATCACTACATCAAGGCAACACTTCGATCTTAACTTAAAATCCGTATATCATTACATTTGTGCACTTTGTAGTTTGTGAGGAATTTTGTTTGATTCTTATAATTGCTTGGATTGAAAGTTGATGGCAGTATCGTTGTGAGAGTTTTTTGTGAAATAATTATCTACAATATATTATCGTATGACGTCTGGATTTGATAAAGTGTTTCTAATACTAAACTAATTAGGACATGTAATCTAGCCTAATAATTAAAAAACTATTAAGAACGAGAAACACTTATAACATGAACCAATTTGTATTTGTGTGTGCATACAAATCATTCATTCAAGAGAGTTATTCAAAGTTGACATATGATGCCTATCTAACCTTATCTCGCACTATAAATTATTTCACATTAAAAGTGATTTAGCAATAATATCAATTAAAGATTGAATTAATCACAACGAATGAAACTATAATTGAATTGAATTGATTAAACGATAGAATTAATAATGACATAAAGCCTTTATATTAGGCTACATTGGATCCCTAGAAAAGAAATTAATTACCCATAGACATTGGGAAATCAAACCTCAAAACCTTCCAAAATATGAAGTGTAAGGAAGATGATGAAAAACACAAGGTAAGATCTTCTCTCCTTCCTTGTATTAATTCTCCACAAAGTTGAAGTAAAAAAACTGTTAAATAAAGTTACAAAGTCCTATTTATAGTTTTAGACCACTATGGGTAACTTTAGGAATACAGATTGATTTAGATGTTCTCTTAATGGCTTCGTGATATACATCACGACATGACTTTGTAGCGTCGTGGCACCAATCATCTGCAGAAACTTCTTTGCACAAAACCTTGCTCATGCCGCGGCATAAGAATTCCTCCGCCGCGACATGAAGTCTCTATCCAAAACATGCCTTTTAGCTTTCTCCTTCAGCTATGACACATAAAATCTCCGCTACGACACCAATATGGAACTTTAATTCTTAATTCTTTTATCTCTGATTTGCATTTCATGTTTCCAAAGTCTCGGATCATTATTGTATATACGAAATCACCATTATAGCGCCTAGAAACCTGAAAACCCACATACATACTCGTAATTCTAGAAAGTAGAAATATAAAGAAATTCACAATAAAGTTAGACAATATAATCATAATTTCCACAAATACTATTCACAGAATCACTAAATACGAGTGCATTTTTGACACTCATCACAAGTTGCGTAAAACTTTTTGTCTATTTGTGTGATTATTTTTTACCTAGCATGACACGTTACACTAGGACATAAATAACACCTTCACACTTAACATAGAAGATCACGCGAGTTGCGTGAAACTTTCTAGTCTCTCGCGTTAATTTTTGTTTTAATATGATTTATCATGCTAATTAGATACCATAGGATTTCTAGTTTGCGATCCATTGCATGACTTGGAAAACCTATGCTAGGTTTCGAAACCCCTTTTCCAACCACAAATCACCCAATCCCATCTTCTTGACATCAAAACTTCAATAACCAATCATCCAAACCAACACATACAACAAATAAAAGTATAAAAACAACAAAATGCACAACAATAACACGATTAAAATAACATTTAAATCAAAAAAACCTTAAACGCTAACATTTAACACGAACTCTAAAAATTTAACATAAACCTAACAATTATACAAAATCGATGAAAAAGTGCCAAGAAACGAACATTTTTACCCATCTCGACCAATTCCTAGTTGATTGTAAACCTGTGATCTTAATATCGCCATTGATTTCATTCTCACCACTCAAAATTGTTCAAAGTCAATCCCCTAAAGTCAGTTAAACAAATCAGTTATTGAAAACTCAAAATTGAAAATAGGCTCCGAAGATTTTTTTTTTTTTTTTTTAAATTGGTTGAAAATGATGGAAAACTTGGTTTATATATGGGGGCATTTTCATTTGGTGGCCATATGGGTATAGCGCTTAGGATTTTGGTCAATTTTGTATAGCCCCGAGTTTTGGTTATTTCAATTAAAAACCCTATACAGATATAATACTAACCAGAGACTTAGGCACCGTTTGGTACATATATTGGAAAAACTATTATAGTCCCAATAAAGTTAACACAAAATTTGTGTTTAGTTCACCTATTTTCAAAATATAATTCGAATAGTTTTCCTAATAAAGTTAACACAAAATTTGTGTTTAGTTAACCTATTTTCAAAATATAATTCTATATTATTCAATTTCTTTTAAACTCCCTAAATTTGTTAATTTAACTAAACAACCCCAATAATTTTTTTAAAAATTGACAAAAAAACCCTAACAACCCAAATTTACCAGATTCTGGCCACCACTATCGGAAGCTAGCCGAAATCTGGTGTAATGGTGCACTACCTGCTGAATTTGGCCGGTAGTGCATCGATCTAGCCTTTTTCGGCCAGATCTTTGGCTGTAGATAGTCGTCAACGACGGCCGTATCTTTGGCTGTCGTTGACAACCAAATGCGACCAGATTTGGCCGTCAATGGCCAGATCTAGCCGTAGATCTAGCCTTTTCTAGCCAGATGGATCTGGCCAGAAAAGGCCGTATTGGCGCACGACCGGTGCTTTCGGCTACCTTTCGACGGTGGTGGCCATTTGTCCGTATTTAAAGAGTGGGTTGGGGGTGTTTTTATTAACTTTGAATATTTTATTATAGGGGTGATTAATAAATAAATAAACATAAGAGGTATTTTTGTTAATTTTTAAAATTCTACGTTATAATACTTACTTAATTTAACTTTTAAAAAAATATTATTTTAAAAACTATCCAATAACGAGCCTTAATATTGGGACATGGCAGTCATTTCATGCAAAAGCCAATTAAAAGCTTCCAGATAAGCTTAAGTTTCTTCCTTGTGGATTAGGCCCGCCAAAAACCTACCTATCTTCAACGACCAAACAACTTCCATTCGTTCATGGCCTTCTCTTTATCTTCTCCCACTCTCACTTTCTCCCACAACCTGTCTTTCACTTTCTCCACAACACCAAATCGTAATATCCTCTCTGCCCGTTTCACATTTCCTCTCAGCAGAAAGCAATCTGCAAGATTTGGCCAACTCAAGGTTCAATGCAAGTCTAAACAAGATGATACAACGGTTGGTCTTCTGATTTTACTTTAATTCTATGTTCTATTCATGATTATAGCTTGTGGGGTTAGTTCTTTTAGTGTGTTTTAGCTTTTACTGGCGCATATTTTTGATGTATTTTAAAATGTGGGCTGCTCATGCTAGTTAGACTGCATTGAAACTGTGGTAAATTATTTGCTAGAGCAATGTAATGAAGGTAGATTTATAAGATTTTTTACTTGCACTTTTTAGTCAGTGTGGTGGCTGTTGTACCGATGGCAATATTATTACTTATTAGATTCGGCAAATTAATAAATTCTCTTCGCTTAGTGAAGTATAATTTTTGACATATTTCTTGGATTGGGTGTGAATTCCTTGTACATTTAAAGTTGTGTGGAAAAAATATTGAATATATTTAAGGATATAAGGAAAAATTGACAGACATTTGGAAATGCCATATTGTTGTAACTAGTTCTTAGTTTATTATTCATTATTATTAAATGTGGTGGGGTTCCGTCTGAAACCTGTGATGGCTCTTTTATGGTGGCTGTGCGCTTCGCTTACGTTTTCCGTTCCTGCTAGCTGCATTTTGCTGTCAAGATATAAATTGTGTTCTACCGGCATGGATCCTTTTAATAAAGTTGTACACTGCTCGGTGGTTTTCTGTTTTTCAGTTCTCTGTTTCCTCCATAGCGATTAGACCTTTATAGTGTTGGACCAGAATAATTGAGGAAATTATATTCCTCTTGAGTTAATCACAGTATCTAATTTGCATTTATAGTTCTGTAGGAGCTGGAGTATTGGCATAGTATCCCGACCAAATTGTGCATATCAGCTTTTGGAAATGGGATGAAGACAGCGAAGACTCTGATTGCCGCTATCTTCATTTTTGTCCAAATTTCATCTCCGTTGTGTATGATTGGCTGGGAACTTTGGTCTGTTTCTCCTGCAAAGGCAGTGCTTTATTCTCCTGACACCAAAGTCCCGAGAACTGGAGAACTTGCTTTAAGAAGAGCAATCCCCGCAAACACGAACATGAAGGCAATACAGGTAGATATATAATAATTACATTGTGTTCTCATACTCTCTAACTTGAATATAAATCAATATCTAACTTTGTTTTTGTTTTAGGATTCTCTGGAGGACATATCATTTTTGCTAAGGATTCCTCAGAGAAAACCTTATGGAACCATGGAGG